AAGAAAAGTGCATCCACTCCTGTTTCTCTCTCCCTCTATCTGTCTTTTCTCTTCACTGCCTCACACATGCTCCAAGCACCACCCCAACTTGCATGTATGGCAGAGAGAAAGGAGCTTGGAGGGGCTGGAAACACAACAGGGTGTCTGATATGCTCTGAGTGAGTGAGTTTAGGTCACACCAGCACTTGGCTTACAGCAACCATGATGTTCTTCAGGGAGAGGTCAAAGAAACTGAACATGGTACAGTTTCTGTTCATCTTGATCATTCAACATCTTGATTTTTCAATGGATTCATAAAAGTATCCAATTATAAGATTATAGAGACATTCTGAAACAAAACAAAATGTTCTCTCACTTTCCTGAATTAAAGGGAAATGCTTTCCTCTCCATTTTCAATGACATTTACTCAAGCGCTAATCACCCCCAAGTAAAAAATAAGCATACTGATCATTGAGAGAAAGAACTACTGTAGTCGGTTCACCTATCCCCAATTGAAACAGTCACTCCATTTCTGCAAATAAAATTCATACTTCAAAACTACAATAGAGGAAGGCATGAGTGCAGTTCCAACTTGAAGATTAATGTAATTGAACTTTTTAATATTTTTAATGTGCACTTGTGTATTGTTAATTAGCCACTCAGTAATATTTTTCTCAATTATTTTAAAATTTACCTCCAAAAATGTGCCATATGCTCCATTTTTATACAATAACAGAATAAATAATATAACAGATATAGCAGCACTGGAAAATCATATGACTAGAAAGTAATTGAATTCACCATAAATTTGAACCATGTCTTCAAAATTGTATGCAATGTGAGTCTGAGAAATCCCTGAGTTAGAAAGCTTCTTTGAGTTTCAAGTGGAACTTGCACCCATGCTTGAAAATGCCATGGAAAACTTTACTCCCACTTGTGGCATGCACATTGCCCCTTTATTTCTTTTTTGAGCATAAAACTAACAAAAATCTCAACAGGTGGTACAGTATTTGAATCACTGTGGCAGCTGATGCTGGGGCAGGCAGCATGAATGTCTGGGTTCTTGAGCCAACTGAGCAAATTTCCCATTATGAAATGCATCCATTTTCCATGAAATCACTTATTTATAATTACAGTCCAACCTTTCCAAGTCAAGATTCAAAGGGACCAGCAAAAAATGAGTTGGGAAATTGTCAGCTAGGGAAACAAACATTTTTGTTGGCAGAAAGAAAGAAGAATTTTAGGAAATTATTATGGTGATATTCTGGGCCTCAAATTGCTTCTTGAATGAGTTGACAAGATGCTGAACTTGGAGGCAAGGGTTAATTTGCCAAATTAGTCTTTAATTTGCTTTCAAAACACAAATTACACTGTCATTGCTCTTCTCTTTCCTGCATTAATAAAGTAATAGCCAAAATGCCTCCAGATAATCCAAGTCTTGGAAGTTTGAGTGGAGGAAAGCCTTCAAGTCATGCAGGTGTTTAATGCATTTGTTTCTAAGGGAATTCAGCCAAGGACTTGAAAGAAACAAAATCTGACACAGGGAGGTTCAAGTTATCAAGGTTCAATTGTAGTCTTCATTTATTTTTACGTATTGTACTCATGTACAATGCCTTCAGAAAATCCAAGTCTTGGAGGTTTGAGTGGAGGAAAGCCTTCAATAAGTCATGCAGGTTTTTAATGAATTTGTTTCTAAGGGAATTCAGCCAAGGACTTGAAAGAAAAAAAAAATCTGACATAGGGAGGTTCAAGTTATCTAGGTTCAATTGTACCCTTCATTTATTTTTACATACTGTACTGTACTCATGTACTGTATCAACTTCTGAGTCAGGGATCTGCCTGTATAGGTTCAGCAACAAGCTCAAGCTGGAGCAGCATGGAATCCTCCTCCTCCTTCCCCAGAACAGTCAGTCCCTCACTATAGGGGGGCTTCCCGTCCGTCATCACCCTCAAAACCGGGATCCACTGCCGACATGCCAACACACTCCCTTACGGTTCACCACCCTGCATGCACACGGGCTCTTGTTCCCGCGCCAGCGGGCATCCAGCAGGGACAAAGGCGAAGGAAAACACAACGGAAGAATATCCCCTCCATGTATTCCAAAGCCCCCCCCTCCCCAAGGAATAAAATCACGTGCCCAGCACCTGCTGCGCCGCCCGCACCACAAAGCATGTGACCCGTTTTTTTGCAATGACTATGTACCTGTCTGCCTTTTCCACCCACACACACTGCATGGTGTGTTTGAGTACGGTATACTGTATATATAAACACAAAGGCACAGCGCCCAGGAAACGGTGTTGTGTCTGTGGTACTCCAAGAGATAAGATACTCAGTACAGTTCAGCGGTAACGAATCTGTATCCCAGCAGATGCCATAGCTCCTCAATTACAGGGAGACCCCCCCCCAGGATCCGGACGTAATTAGTGCTTATTGGACCTTGTCCCTAAGTTGGAATGTCCGCATGTCATATCAAGACTTTCCATAGAGACTTCCATGGGACCTATTACATTATGGCGATGCAGAGAATTAATTAAATTTTGATATCTCTTGAACAGATTGAGTTACAGGTATTCCTTTGAAAGAAAAAAAAATCTGACATAGGGAGGTTCAAGTTATCTAGGTTCAATTGTACCCTTCATTTATTTTTACATACTGTACTGTACTCATGTACTGTATCAACTTCATACACACAAATGAAAAAATAAATTTTTTCATATATTTGCACAAATTTATGATAGAAAAGGTTAATTTTGGGCTGCTTTTTTTAAGGGTTCTCTGTTATCTTTGCATCAAAAAGGTAGAATAAATCACCCTAAACATTGAATTATTATTTTTTAAACATTAAGATGCAGAATATAACTGAAAAAGAAAAACCACACAGAATTGAATCTGATATTATGATCTTATTTCCACACAAAATCTGATCTTAAAAATGAAAATAAAAAGGATCCCAAAAAGGAAAGAAAAAGTTCAAGTTTTGCAATTATACTGTACAGTGCAAAGATAACTCAAGTTCTTAAAAACAGCAGCCCAAAATTAACCTTTTCTATCATGAATTTGAGCAAATATATGGAGAATTTTTTTTTTACTTTTTGTGAAAATGAATATCTGTAACTCTTCCCCATTTTTTCCAGATATGTTTGAAAAGTGTCTGTATGTTTGAAAAGTGTCTGTATGTTGAGACATTGTCTGGATGTTGGGGCAGATTTTTCAAAGCTTCAAGTGTCCCTACGTTGAATTGTCTGTATATTGGGGTATCACTATATATTGTAATGCATTTTATTATTTTGAAACGTGCAAAACTCACACAACAAAATTTTATTGAGTTACCTTACATATGTGCCAAATTTGCTCCAAATTTTGACTCAACAGGAGGGGTTATTAAAAACCCCTTCTGTTAATGTTGAAGGCTATTAAAAATCCCTCTGTTGAGTAAAAATGTCCACAATTGGGAAAAATTCAACAGCCTATAAAGAGGGTTTTTAAATACTGTTCTGTTAGAAGTGTACGGTATATGAGTACTTGAGAAGCTTCTTTCTATATTACAGATGGACTTCCTTTACAAAAATCTTTTCTAAAACGATTTTATCTGTATAACATTTGTATTTGTGGTCCCATGAATGGGGTTCTCTTCCCTTGTTTTGGGGGTACTCTATACAATTAAATTTTTTCAACCACAAATAGTATGTTTGTATCTTGAATGTTGCTGTAAAGACGAGTCCAACTGTATTTCTGTGTGACAAACTTTTTCTTGTTCCCTCTGAGTGCAAAATGTAGGTCAAGAGCCTGTGAATTTTAAGAGGACTACTGAAACAAACTTTGATCCCTCTCTATATACATGCAGTGTGGACAAAAAACACTTGAAAACCCGCCAGTCTGTATTAAAATGCCTTATCTTTGGAGAAAGCTATAAAAAAAGATCAAGTTTTGGTTTCAGAAAAAATACAAAATGAGGAGTAACTCGAATTTTCTAAGAAAAAAACGGGAGGAAATATACAAATGAGATCATGCTGCGTAATCCCTTTATTAAACCAAGATCGAAATTTGAAAGGTTGTTATTGACATGACTCCAACGAATTTTAGGAATATTTAGGTTCCACAAAGATTCTCATACAGTATTTCTTTTTCATAGAAGTTCTGACAAAATTTTCTTTTTCTTTCACGCACGGGGGTAAATCACTGGATGCATAAGAGTCCTGTTCCTTCTGTACTATAAGGTACAAAATAATACGGATTGCTGGTGATTTACTACAGTACTATTATCCATCGGTAAAAACAAGTTATGAAACTCTTGCTCATGAATAATATCCTAATTATTCTGAACTGGGGCCAAAATTTCCGGATACTAAAATCAGAAAAAAAAAATCTGATCGCAATAAAACAATCATACTTTATTTTCTGCGATAGAAACGATGATTTTCACTGCGATCTCAGGAGCGAAGTAGGCTGTAACTCGAGTCTGAGCTGAACTTACCGTTGATCGGTGAGATTCACACGACATCTATGCAGAAGCGATCAAATCAACCTTGGCTGACATTCGTCGCTAGGTCCCTTACACGGTACAGAAGTCTTCCATGGCTGGGGAATTTCAGACACTTTAAACTTCATCAGTAATTTTAGAGCACATACAGATCACCGTAGTTTTTTCATCTCACACAGGTTCAAAAAATTACTTTCGTCTCACACAAAAATTCGCTGCAACAGTCGAAAATTGTGTCTTCAGACGTAGACAAATTCAATACTGCTTTTTGCCCTTGACCTGTGTACACACATATATAAAAAAATCATTCAAAAATTCTAAATACAAAAAACATATTTCAATCCTAAATTATGAACTTTTCTTTCTCTCATCCAAATAAAAGCACACGTCACACTATCACCAGACGTCGGCCGAACTGCTGCTGCATCTGAAGAGATTGGGCATAAAAAAGTTCAGCTCGATTATTCAAAATGCTAATTTCATGATAAGAAATGAAAGTACAACTGCTTCTCTCCCGAAAAGCAAGAATTTCATTCCAGAGTCCAGCAAAAAAAAAAAAATGAAACCGCGGTGAACGGAAGTGCGAGGTCACTCATTTATTGTTACGTTTTTTTTGTTTTGCAATTCGGGAGTTCGTGAAAGCCCGGCAGGGTTGCACGAGATTCATCACTTTTCTTCCATTCATTCATTCACAGTTAAATTCACATAAAAATCTTTGAATACACAACGAAAATTACACAAGATGATGATCAAAATCGAAAAAACGGAGGATCGTCGACCAACGAAAAAAAAAAAAGAAAAACCGAACAATGGTTCGCTCGACCCGTATCCACAACAAATTAACTCCTTTCCTCTCTTCATCTTCTCTTATTCCTCACCAGGACACGTTTCACAACTTATTTACATTGGCACAGCCTTAGTTTTCAGCGATTTCAACGAGTCGATCTTTTTTTTTTCTCCTCCAGATTCTCAAACTTGTCCCACAAACACTTTGGACGGTTCCCAAGATCCTTTCAGCAAAAAATAATTCACGAAGACAGTTTCGGGGGACACTTGAAATGCACTCTTAGGTTTGCAAAATCAATCGATTAAAGGGCAGTGAAAGGTTTTAAAAGTTACTAAAAGAAATACCGTGAAGCAATATAAATTTTGTATGAGCGCCTCGTGTGGGAATGAAAATCACGAAAAACTCGTGATCAAAACAGAAAAAGAACACTCTCGGTAAATTATTTAACTCGTTCTTCTCATCTTACATACTTAAAAATACTAAAGCCATTTTCAGGGAACACAGTATTATCGAAAAAATTCTTATTATTGAAGATAACACACTAAAATAATCTAATGTAAAGCGAAAAAACTTTTACAGTACTTTACTAGACAAAGAAAATGTAGTAGAAGTCCAGCAGCACTAATTTGAAAGCAACGAAAATGACAGATTCTGTAAAGTCAGGCGCTCCTTCGGAAAAAAAACGGAATACAATTTTAAAATGGTATAAAGGATAAAACCACGAATCGTTATTCGAAGAACAGATAGAAATCGGGGTTTCCTCGTATACAGTACAAGGATTCAATCAATATCCCAGCCAATACAATGTGGCGATTCACTTCATCTAAGTGGCTTCTTCTTCTTGCGTCAAAATCGTCGGTCATTGATTCACGTCAATTTGACATAGACTCACAGCTTGTTTTGTGTGATCCGAATACGTATAACGTACAATACGTCCTTGAACGAATCTCTTCGAACGAATTTTCAATCATTTTCTTTTTTTTTAGATCGCCGTGAGTTTTAACAGCACCAACGATCCAAGTCACAGTCCTGAGAAAGCTCAGGTAAACTCTCTCTACAACGAGATTCAGAAAAAAAATTTCGTTTTAGAGAGAGTCTAACTTCACAAAATTGGCAGCGTCCTGCTCAGATTCTATTCCACGGCAATCAAAATCAACCAGATTTAAACCACCTGCAAGACGTTCTTATCCGCACTGTGGGAAATCAAAAGCTAATAAATAAAAAAATGATACAAAATAGAATCTCGTCATAACGAAATCAAGAGACTAGAAAAAAAATTGTTTTATAGAACCCCTACAACACGGGGAGAGAAACCTATGCGCTTATGGGACGAAAAAAATCGCTATACAGAGAAAATCATTGTAGAAAAGATTTATGTAAGGAGGGACTACCTGTATACAGCCGACTCTCGTTATAACGAATTTGTTTTTTTCTTCTTGGTCCCTATCCAACAGCCACAATGCCATTTTCTATATCGTTTTAACTTACTTTTGTTCCTAACAAAGGTTTTTTCAAGGTCCCAAACTCTTCGTTCCGAAGAGATTCTATTTTTGGCCACGGGATAGAGGTCGCCCCTTCCATTCAAACTCCACCCACCCACTCCAAAAACTTTTTCGCATGAAAAATAACCAAGTAAAAATTACATCCCTAGCAGGAAACGAGCATCACGCAATTTTGCCGCAGCAACTGACGGTACAGCGAAATGTACTTGCCAGCCAACGTAGTGACCGGTAGGATAAAAGCAGAGCACAAAGAAGTCTTGTCCCTCAAGCAGGATGTCCAGGCGTCCACTCCAACGCAGCGCAGGAACTCCAGCACGAAGGAAAAGCAATTGTGGTTCTCCGTGTTGTACCTGCAAGAAAAATGAAATAATAAAATCACGGACTGGACTTACCACTAGATCAAAATCTTGTTACAACAAACTTTCGGGGACTTCGGAAGAAGTTTTTTTTTACACCGAATAATTATTATGAAGAGATTTTCAAAATGAATCACTGGAGCATTTTTTTTAAATCAGATCTGCCTATAATCAATTGGATCTTGCTTTTCTGGCATTCCTCAAATTTTTCATAATTATTCGAAAAACTGAGTGATCTGAAAAATGGCTCCAATCATGCATTCCATCAGTTGCAGAAAACTCTTCATCCTCGGAGGATGATGTGAAAATTGTTTCCTTAGGGATTTTCTGGGAAGATGATGTGCGGAAACTTCCGTTGCACAAAAAAACAGAGGTGTTCCATACAATTGGTACAAAATTAACCTGTCTTTCGTCCAGTGGCTCTCCGTGGCGACCGCCACAATGGCGGCATCCCATCGCTCTTTCCACAACGGGCACAGCGGACGGGCGACCGTCGACGTGGGGCCGCGACGGTCAGCGTTAATAAATATTGGCAAACATTCGGTCCAGCTTTCACCGCGTGTCACGCGGAGTCCACTGCTGTCGTACTCGTACGTCTTACCTGCAGAGTCCGTCACTCCAATGTGCAAATCTGTCGAATTGGCGTAATCTCTGCACATGCGGGAAGAGGAGAAGGATAATGAATCAACGTTAGACAAGAGTATCATTGACGATGATATCGAGGTTCCCTCGGATTACGGACGTGGGGCTGTCATCGATTTTTGTTTGGGAACAACGCATCCTGCTCAAGATAAGAGACAACATGAGAATAATTTTCTTTGTAAAAAAAAAAGTCAAAATAAATTTTCAGGATAGAAATTTTCTTGAATTGTGTCTCTGAATATACGTCAAATCTTTTACGTCTAACATAAATTTTCTTCATTCAGGGATTTACTACATATTAAGATCGATTTTTCTTTTGAAAAATCGCAGTCCAGATAATTAATCAGGGAAAATGATCTTCCTCCTAAAAAAAAAAAGGGAATAATTTTTCAGGCGGATAGAAGCTTTACTGAATTCTTGATTGGATCTCCGAGTGAACGAAGATATTTTAGGTTCAAAATACATTCCATTCATACGGTAAATTTTAGTAAAATCGATTTTTGCTTCAACAAATTCATCCTGCTCAAGATAATAAAAAACATTAACCCGATTTCATTTTATAAGAAAATCTGTGAGAATAATTTCTCAGGCGCATAGAAGCTTTATTGAATTCTTGATTGATCGCGATTCCGAGTGTTCGTCCATATTTTAATTTTAACGTAAATTTTATTAATTCAGTGATCTTTATTGTACAGAATATTTTTGTTGTTAAAAAATTCACTCTGCTCAAGGCAATAGAAAACATGAAAACGATCTTCCTTCTACAAGAGAGAAATGTCAAAATAATTTTCAGGCGTAAAGAAGCTTTACGGAATTCTTGTTTTTTTTTCTGATATTTTACTTATAAAGTACTGTACACGAACATTTTATTTATTTTTGATTTTAAGAAGAAAAAAAACATTCCAAGCGAAAAGAAAATTTTCTTTCCCAGCATAGACTCCAATCCAGCAAGTCCCTTTCCTAGTTTTCCCGGCATTTTTCTTCACACCGAAATTTTCTCATGACCCAAAAGAAAGAGCCTCACCGAAGGAAGCTGCCACGAGATGGTTTGATGACCAAGGAACACGGACATTCGTTGGACGACCGGAACGGATATGGCAACAGAAACGGCGGCGTGTGGAGGACTTCATCTTCGAGGCACTTCGCGCACACGGGGCACCTTTCGGGCACCACGTCAAACGCGAATATATTAACCTTCTTGCTGCAATGCTGCAGGCAAATTATCCGCCGCTGTTCCATTCCTGGATCGCAAATGGAAGAAGCCAATGAGTCGCAAAAAAATTTAAAAAAAACAGAAAATATGATACAAGTAACAAACTCGTTACAACAAATTTTTCAGTACAAGAAGAATTTCCTCAAGCTCCAGCAGAAAGCCCAGAGAAACAATCTTTATATAAGAACAATCTTGATACCAAACAAACAAGTAAAAAACTCGTTACAACAAATTTTTCAGTACAAGAAGAATTCCCTCAAGTTCCAGCAGAAAGCCCAGAGAAATAATCTTTATATGAGAACAATCTTGATACCAAACAATCTTGGTTTAAACAAGCTTCCCAATTCCAATGTAACAATTTTTTTTTGAAGAATGTTTAATTGATTCTTTACGTAGAAATTTCCCGACTGAGCACTGCCTGAAATTTCCAATCCCAAATGTGACTGATTGACTTTTTGTAGCCTGGATGGAAGCTTCAATCGATGAAAAATATATGCTTTCAAATATACGGTATCCACACTTCATCTTACCAGAATGAAGAGATTGTTGAAACTGATCTAATACAAGATGGAATCGTTTTTTTTTCAAAAGATCACTCAGTTTTTCAAACCATAATATAAAAAATTTGAGAATGCCAGAAAAGCAAGATCTTATTAATCATAGGCAAGTCTGACATGAAATTTGTTTCCAGTCATTCATTTTGAAAATCTCATTATGGCACTGTATTTAGTACAACAAAGTTTTTTAGAAGTCCCCAAAAGTTTGTTGTAACGAGATTTCACTGAAAACCCGAATCTGACACTGATTATTTGAATTCTTGTTTCGGAGCCGCACCAAGTCGAAGATTATCCACAACGGCGCCGAAAAAAAAACACAAATCGACGGGTCGCGACACAAGGAAATAATGCATTTCAGTCAATCATCCAAAAGAAAAAGACTTGAGAGATTGCAAAGAACAAAAGAAAAACCGACTACAGATATCGAGGAATAATTAATGTACCCGCGGTTATTCGGATTCCCTTTCGGCCATACCTGTACTTATTTAAGCAAAACTGGCCGAGGTGAAACCAGTTCGATAGTCACAACGCTGGAATTTTTACCTCATTCGGAAAGAGAAAAATACATCACAGCCTGATCACAACCAATCGTTTCTTTCGTCAAGAGGATTTCCTTTTTATTCAGCGACTGGTTACACGTCACTTCCCAGAGACAAGTTCATCAGACCTGACAAAAAAGAAAAAAAATTCAAATTCAAATACAATACAAATTAGGAACATTTTTACAAGTTTTTTCGTTTAGAAATGTTCAAATGAATTTCATTATAGGCAATTGTAATAATTTATTTTGCATGAAATTTTATAAAGAGGCAATTGTAATATAGTATTTTATTTTGCATGAATTTCACGATAGAAAATTGCAATAATTTATTTTGCTTTCCCTGTCTCTTTTCAGCAACGATACTAACTTTAAAATTTCTCAGGCTGCAATTTGACCACATATAAGAAAAATCTGGAAAGCTTCAAACAAACTCTTGGTAAGCTCATGTAAGTATTTTGCGACTTCGCGATTCAAAACACTGCATTAAAAAATTAAAGAATGATAAAGCAAAATTTTCGAAGACTCGACGTTCTTGTGACAGTTATTTTTCAGAACATTGTGACAATTGAGAGCATTCATACACTCGACCTCCGAAACCTAAACTTCACCAAACATTGTACAGGTGAACTCTCTCTAAAATAATCTTGCCTAGAACGATTTTCTCAGTACAGTTAAAAGTTTTTTTTTTTTTTTGGTCCCAAATGTTTTCTGCCCAAGGGCTGTCCAGAACGAAATTTATTCGACAACTAATTTTTTCCGGTCTCTTGAATTTCGTCGAGAGAGTCAAATGATGAAAGGATTTTATCAAATACCCTTGATTTTTCTGAGCCCATTTCCTCAAAAATAAATCATCTGATGCAGTACTTGAGCGGAAGCGTTAGAATAAATCGGAAGATAAAACTCACCAAAGGCGCATAAAATTATCGAAATTCTCCCCGCAAGTACCAAACGCCACCGGCATCAGTTTTCCGAAATTCGCACACTTTATTCAACAAGGCCCGAAACACTGGGACCTGCTTATCTTTAAGCCTTTTCTTGAACTTTCCCAGCAATTCCGACGTTTTCGCTTCTCCAGCAGTGTCTGTTCCAAAGGCGACAAACGTTCGAACGTCGTCCAACAAATCCCGCAAGGCCTCTGGAACTTCCTCGAGTTCCGGCGGCTCGCCATCTTCCACCTGGAGAAAAAAGAAACAATTAAATATTTGCACGGGAATCATTGTCGGATGTCAAGTCAGAAATTGGGACAAAACCAGATCACTTACCGTGAAAAATTATTCTTTTTTTTTCATCCAAACGCGTCAAAATCCCAGTTTCCAAAATTACTATCCGTTGGTACAGGAGTAAGTCATGAGTTTACCTGACTAATGCGCAAATGTCGGATAATCACCAACTCGACAAATTTTCCGATTGTCATATAGATGTCGCATGAAAACCTCAACTTATGCTTACTTCCATGCAGAAGCATGACAAGGTTGAACATTATTTTCATGTTCTCCTCATTACCTCATACTTGTATATATATATCTTCATCTGATCTTTTCCTTTCCTATAAAATATGTAGCAAGAAGTATGTTGACAACAATTCAAATTTGTGACCGCATGCATTCTTCTGACCTCTTTAGAAAAGTTTTCAACCACAGGTGCTTATGCATATAATGCAACTTCTTACTTGGACACTGATGTAAAATGCTGTCTACAAAAAGTTGCTTTGCACTTGAATGAAATACATTTTACTCCGTCAAAATAAAGAGGAAAAGAATAAAGAATAAAAGACTCCTCCAAGTGTTTTTCTAAATATCTTTATAAAGTCAGGGAAAACAATATTTTTTATTTAGAAGCAGTTACTGAATTGCAGGAAAATGCAAAAAGAAATCAGACTAGTAAATCTGCTAATTGGCAATCGAAGTAATCTGGTTTATTTTTCCTAGAAATTAAGGACAACAATGCACTGTTCTTCCCTGATAACTTGGAATAGCAGGGGGGGGGGGGGGGGGGGAAAAAAAAATAGTGGGGGGGGGGGGGGGGGGGGGGGGGGGGGGGGGGTTAAAAAATCGACAGGACGACTGACGAAGGAAAAGAGAAAATCATGTTTTAGGACAGCAATCTTCTGATGCACCAGCTGAGTTCCACGCGATTCACTACATTTCTTAAAGAAAGGATTAAAATAACTCACCTGCTCGACGAGTTTGTTGAATTTATTGCGTTCCTGGGCCTTGGCCAAAATCCCAGCAGACGAAGCCGAATCATCAGCCGAAGCCACAGCCAACTTGGCGTTCTTCTTTCCAAAACGTGGCTTGAATTTCGTCGCTTCCTCGGAATACCTCGACATGCCCGAATACAAATGCCTCGAACGCCTCAACGCTTCCACAGCATTTTGCGCGAGTCTCTCAGCTTCTCCTTCAATTAATGAGTGATCCGGCGCCGTTTCATTGACGATTTTGTCATGCCTCAACGCCGCGTGAACCCCGGAACGTTTAAACAACTTGCGCAATACATAGTCGTCTTCGTCTTCCACGCCGCCTCCGATATTCTCCTCCGGCAATGTTTCAGCCGTCGATGACGGCTTGTACGGACGCCGTTTCACCACGTTCGTCACTCGTTCCCCGTCAACCTTGGCGAATTTCCGCTTTTTCGTCTTTTCCGGGGACGAAGAAGACGTTGAAGCGGGGGATGGATTGTGTTTTTCAGCGACTTGCTGACTGAGTCGCTTGGCCAATTCCATCATCCGCTTTTTACGCTCGTCGGGAGTGGATTCGGAGTCGGCTTTTGCGTTTTGTTCGGACGCCTCAGCGCGCTTCTTCTTATTTTCCTTCAGTTTCTTGCCGAGTTTGTGGAGTTTCACTTCTGAGCCCGTTCCTGCAAAGATATCCGAGGACTCGGTGGCGCCATCGTCAAGAGAGAACAGGTCTTTCAGCTCGTTCGATTTGAAAAATCTGCGGAGAAAAAAAAAGTATGATGTTGTCAAACTTGTCAAAAAACCATCAAACTTGAAAAACATGCATGAGGATATAAAAAAAACATGTCGTTCGACACGAGAGAACTGCAATTGGAGGCGATCAATCCCATTTTAGTGTTTTTATTCTTATTCAAGTGAGCCGGCATTTTTCATCCCTCAAGCTGGAGTGATCTCCTCTATAGAACGAATTTTCGGTTGGTCCCATAAGGTTCTCTCCCCTGCTTTACGAGTTGTGTAACTAAATTCTTTCTACTGTGAATGGTTATCTGGTACCTTGAATTTCGCTTCAGAGAGAGAGTCCACTTGTATTCTCAGAAAATGTTCACGCATGAAATTATAAAAATTGACTTTAATATGAATGAGAAATTATAATTAAATACAATTAGATAATTTTCAAATATTTCCAGCATTTTGCGGATTTGTTTTGAGCTTTTTATTAGTTTTTTTTTATTTCGTCGCCAATGCACTGTAGCTCTGGAGATGGAGAAAAAAATGGTCGTGAACACACAACGCTGTTTCAATCCTCATTAGAATATTACTCGCAGTATTTTGACAAAATCCTCAACCAATACAACAATTGTTTTTTCTCTCAAGCAATTTAGATGGTGGGATTCGGGTCAAGACTTTTCTAAAATGGGTCCACCAAAACGGACCTGCGTTGGTGCGGATCGCTCAGCACCCGATTGGCCAAATACTGCTTGAAAATTTGCCGATGATAAATCTTCTCCTCGATGGAACCCGTCACGATCAATCGGTAGACAGTGACGTGCTTGGTTTGTCCGATTCTCCACGCCCGTTCCCTGGCCTGGGTATCCGTGGACGGGTTCCAGTCTGGATCAAAAATAACCACCCTCGAGGCTCCCGTAAGATTCACCCCGAGACCGCCAACCCGAGTCGTGAGCAAGAACACGAATATATTCGGATCCGAGTTGAACTGGGCAATCAAGGGCTGACGCGCTGGAATCGCCGTTGTTCCGTCAATCTTCAAAAAATTGTAGGATCTCTCCACCACGAAGGCTTCCATGATTGCTAGCATCTGTGCAACAAAAGAGGAATCCAATTTTAAAAAAGAAGACAGTAGAATCTCGTTATAGAAACTTGTTGTTTAAAACGGGATTGATTTTTCGGTCCCTCTCCAATAGCCATAATATTCTTTCAATTTCTGTTCAACGAATTTTTATTTATAACGAAGCTTTTATAAGGTTCCAAACGCTTCGTTTTAACGATATTCTACTGGGAATCATGGGAAACTTAGGCTTCAATGCATTCAAAGAATTTTTTCTAGCAGCCAGGCTTTCCTCTTTCTCATCGTCCTGCTTTGAAGCTGCTTATAAGGTCTCGTTAGAATGGATTATTGCTTACAACTATTTTTGCCAGTCTCTGTATAATGACCACAATATTACGTTAATTTCGTTTATAACGAAGCTTTTTTTTATGGTCCCAAACATTTCGTCGTGAAGAGATTCTACTGTTCTTCTCACATTCGAAAGAAAGATCTCTTCCTTTTTGTGCAATAATTTAATCTCGCGAATAAAATGGAACTTTAAAAAAATCGTTTAAAAAAGGAGAAAAAATGGCGAATAGGATGCTGGAAAAATGTTCTTGGAAAAATTGTTTTCAGTAGTTAGGCTTTGGAATTTCATTCAAATACAGTTTTTGCAGGATGATTCAAGCGCAACAAGCCCCACAAAATGCGAAGAGTCCACCATTTCAACGAGGTTTCATGTAAAGTACAGTATAATGCAGTATTTAACGAATACAGCACTGGTCAAATTTTAGTCCACGGAAAGACGGACAATGAAAAAAAGGAGCAAAAAATCTCCCCAAAATATTCACATTTTTGTTGGTCTAGTAGCACGTGAAAACACCTGAATACTACTGGAATAAATTTCAAACGAAGTTAAAATCAACCATAAATTGTATACGAAATTTACAGGACATTTCAGAACAATACAATTTTCCAGAATTATTCAAGTTCTCAGTTTGAGAGTATGAGTCTGAAACAATTTAAAAACCAAATTTCTCCAGAGCTGGCGCATCACTTTTGTAAAAGATCACAAAAACAAACCTGGCGACTCTGCGAGAATAGCAGTACTTTGTGGTTCTGTTTCTTCCAAATGCGCAACAACGACTCCAAAACCACCATCTTCCCCGACAATTTCCAGTACCCGAATCGTTCCGATTCCGGCAAACTCATTTGATTCACCTGTCAATAAAAAAAATAGTAATTACACAAGAACTGGTTTGACCCCGAGGTCAATCAATCGACCCCACTCACTTCGCCGAAGTGTTTCGGCCCACCGTCATACAAATGCGGATGATTGCAGATTTTTCTCAAAATCGTCAACCCAACAAACGGTTTCTGCATCCCTTGCCAAATCGATTTTGCTTCTCGCGAATTCAAATATTCAAGGTAGAGTTCCCTTTGGCGATCAGTCAGTTTGCAAAATAGCACCTGTAAAAAGTTTTGAAAAATTGCAGGTTAAAATTGGAACGACAAGATGTTGAAATGCTGGTTTCCTAACCGTACACCAGAATTCGTCAAAATCATCCCGACGTGACCTAAATTAAAATTGTGCTTTTGGAAGTTGTACTCGACAATTTTCGAAAATGGCCAAAATTGAATTTTTCACAATTCTTCAATTTTAAATTTTTCGAAGCCCGATTCAGAAGAACTTGCGCTCATGAGCGCGAAAGATTTTAAATACAGCCTTACATGTTTACATTTTAAACTTTTCGGTAATTATGAGCACTCCGTAAATTAATTTCCGATCCGGATAAGTACCTGTTCATTCTTCGTCGGCAACTGAATGTGATGCTGAACACTAGCCTTCATTCTCCGAATCATGTACGGAGCAATCGTGTCCTTCAAAATCACTGCACACCGGAAAGCAGTCGCAACTTCCACGTCAGAAGCTGTAGCATACCCCCCGATTGTGATAGGTACGGAAAATTCCTTCATAAAAACCTCCAAAGTTCCCAGTTTTCCAGGAAAAACAAAATCGAACAGAGACCACAATTCACGGAGATTGTTTTGAAGCGGACTTCCACTCAGGATTATCCTGTGCGGCGTTTTGAATTTCTTCGCCGTTTGCGTTGCCTAGGAAATACAGAAAACACGTGAAAATAATATACAGTACCCCAGAGTATGATATAAGCTCATTATGTAAAACAATGAAGCTGAAAAAGGGTTCCTTACAAATACAGGACATTTTTACTCACTTTAAAAAAATGCGAGATACTCTTTTGGAGAGAGTGGATCATTTAATACCTGGCTATCGGGATTCCGAATTTTGTGACCCTCGTCGAGGATCACATAGTGCCAATCTCCGCGTACCAACTGTTCCTCCGCCAGCACCATTCCTGCGTAAGACGTAATTAGTACGCCGCTGTTCATCGTCAAAATCTGATGAATCAGGTCACGGCGATGTCCTCCGTGCGATCCCGACCCGTGTAAGATGGCAACCCGCATCTCTGGACACCATCGGTGGAATTCGGAAACCCATTGATGCATCAAAGTTGCAGGGGCAACGATCAGCACTGGCCCGAGGCCCTTCACGCTGAAAACAGAGCAGAAAATCTGGATTAGGCCAAGACTTTTCTGTGGCAATTCCACTGTGGTTTTTCCGCTCTGCAACACTTCAACAATGATTTAAAATGTTAGCAAATTTATTTTTAACGATTGACACAAATCGAAGTATCCCACAAATGGCTGAAAAATTGAAGTTACGCCGCACGGAAAACGAATGAACCAACAACTAAATGCAGCAAAAATAAAAAAATAAACTCATTTCTCAACCATCCTCATACTGTACTGAAAACAGTAGTCTTCAGAAGTTTGATGAACAGTCGAACAAAGAGCTTGAGAATTGCGTTTGGCCTTGAAATATTTTAAGTAGTAGTGATTCAAAAATGAATAACATGGACTAGATTTATAAATGTTAGATATCGCAAAATGTATACAGCACAAAAAATAATAAGCAAGACGACTAGGCATACACGCGAAGATTTAAAATGAATTAAAAGATGATTTATCTAGAGGAGACCTCGCAAGAAACAAGCAACACAATCATTCGCGAAAATTAAATGCACTCATCAAAATTTTAAAAGGGCAAAAAGCAAAAAAAAAAATTCCGTCCGGTGAAATGGACGGCTGTTTTACGAGGAATACATCAATTCGTATACTTACTCGAAATCAGCGTCGTAGATTTTTGACTGCATCAAACCGGCCAAAAAGGAAATCAACTGCACAGTTTTCCCGAGGCCCATTTCGTCCCCAATAATCCCTCCACACTTGTTACCCTTCAGCTCCCAAAGCCACCGAACAGTGATTTGCTGATAGTGATACAATTTATCCCATAACTCTTTCGAGATTTTGTAGCCCCCGGGAAACACTTCAAATTGCTGATCTTCATCTACATCTTCTCCGGCTTGCATCTTCTCGAACTTGACACGAACACGCTCTTTATGTAGCTTCTGCAGGCGTTCTTTGTAGGCCTTCAAGTCTCCGTCATCTTTGACAGCTGCGCGGCTTTTTTTGGCCACCGGATACGCATTTTTATTTTTGGATGCAATTTTCCGCTTTTTTGGAGACACGGAAGGCACTTCATCGCATTCATCGGATTCGGGGACGTATTCATCACTGTCTTCATTCACGTCCCGCGGCATGGAATGAGTTTCCCCGACAACTTTCCCGGGCTTCAAACTTCGACAATACCTTTAAAATATTATGCAAAATTTCACAGAAAATTCAAGCGAGCCAAAACGTTTTATGAACCAGGAATGCTTCTGAAAAATGCCCAAGACCTCATCAGTAGTGGAATTTTTGTATTCCAGTCCAGCGCGAGAAAGACACAATGTGAAAAAAGGGAATTGGAGTTCGAATTGCTTCTTACAATTTTACAGAACGTTTAGGGAAAAACAAATCGAAACAGAAGTCCACAAAATTAATTACGAATCGCTCAGTACGAAACTGGGCGAATTATTACCTCACTTAATGATCCAACTCTAATTTGTTGCTTTATGACCATCTCAAAAAATCTGAATTGCGTTTTTTCACCCGAAATAAATCACTCACGAATTTCAAGACATTTTTTCACGATCAGATAAGGTTTAAAATGATATTCGTCACGATTCTGTAGGACCTCAATCAATGGGCTTTTGGTGGCATCCAGGTTGAAAAAGGAGAAAGCCTAATGCCTAACGCAGGTGGAAAATTTTTTTCCGCAAATTAGCATGCATCGTCAATCGTAGAAAAAAATTTACAAAACTGCCTTACGCTAGATCAGCTCGGGTAGACGTCCCAAGAACTTCCTTTTTCTTCGCCTTTTTCGGCTTGAGTAGGCTAGTCTTCAATGGGTCAAAGGTTGAAGACAAAGTTGTCCCAAAGGGAGTCATTAGGCCAATGCTGACTTTATCATCCAAAGAATGCGATTCGAAATCATCCTCCGCCAATTCCTGAACCGGGTCATCACTACCCGGAAGTGGAGGAGGAAGACGTTGCAACAGGCACGACTGCGTTTCACGAAGATCTCGGAGGAGTTTCGGAATTTCGAAAAGTCTCGCAGAGATTGCTTGAATCTGACGAATAGAACCAGGGCCTCCCGAAAGACGTTTCTCGGCTTTTTCTTGCTCCTGTTCCAGAGTCCTGATTGAATTCAACATTGAAAAGTTTAGCTGATGCATTAATGAGTCACCACAAAACATTTTTTAAATCATAGAGTAAACGAACCCACGAGCAATGGAGAGACTTTATTTTAGTTTCACCGGAAACATTTCTTTCGTTTCCTTACGCATCGCATTGTTTCAAAGGAGAAGTAAAAAAAAACTATTTCATATCATGAGTGCTCTGTACATGATAACTACAGCATTAGCCAATTAAGTTATGACAAGTGAAATCATCATTCCATGAGCATTTCTGATCTTAATACGGGTTGTCTCAAAAAACAGACAAATAACGCCCGAGAAAAGTCAGAAAACACAAAATTTTCAGAAGCTACACTTGATTTTCCTATCCAAAATGGTCAAGCTTATATCTCCAATGTTCCCTTTCGCCTGAATTTTTTTACCTCTCGTTTTTTTTTTCTTTCTCTGCACTGGATGCTTATCAAAACAGGTTCAATTACACAGTACTAACTTGATTTCATCGTTGATTTTCCCTAAGCGTGCCTTCAGGTCTTCAGTGGCTTGCTTAGATATAGCTTCCTCCGCTTGATTGATGATCGATCGCTCGAAATCCACCTGGCTAACAACACGAAGTCCTTCGACTCCTGCTAATTCATCGTTCTCCTAATAATTGGAACAGAGTGTCACAGTGGAAAATAGCAGAACATGCTGTTCCACGTACCGTTTCTGAACGTCCAGAAAACGAAGAATTAGCTGCACGTTCTTTTTCTATTAGAGTATCAAGCTCCTCGTCGTCCGTTGCAAGCTCATCCGGGTCTTCTCCATAACCATCGAGATCATCGTCACCCATGCTTGTAAATATTCTCTCGTGACGCGATATAGAGAAAATTTGATCAAATCGGCTTCATCGTCACTTTTTCAACGAAAATACGTATCACTCAAACCTGGAATTAACCAGAAAACGGCACTTTTCGACCCTTAATTGATAATTCTGGCACGATTATCATCAGAGGCCCCGTTTCACCAAATAACAGAACTACCGTAACCGACATTTGTGAACCAACTTGCGCGCACAGAGGGCTGCGTTCTCATCAAAGTGCATACTAATGGCCATTGCCAGGATGAGGCACCTTCACGATAACGCAATGGAATGCGCGTAAGTTTCTCATTCCCATTTTGGAACGCTTGTTCTATAACCTACAATATTCGCAGAAATTCATGACTTTAAATAAAAATACCTTTTCTGTTAATTGCATTGAAAGTGATAAAAGAAGACCTTAAGATTGTTGCAAAACTGGTAAATTTTTAAAATGAAGTAACTCTAAGACAGACAAGCATGTCTTTAAAAAAACACACACCAGAATATCAGCTAATTCACAGCAAAAAAAATATTGAAAATTCGTTTTCATACTAAGCTTAAAAACAAAACAGCTGAATTTCATCTGTGTCTTATGCGCATACAAATAGATGACATAAGAACCAAACTTAAGCGAGAACTCCGACTGACTGGAGAACCATTGCTAAGAACTCCCATTCATATCATCCATGAATCATTTTGTCGAAACTATACTGAATAGTAAACATTTGCAATTATATCCAAATTTCCAGAATCCCCGTTTTGGTTGACACATTCTCGATGAACGAAGTACAATGCAAGAATTTGATGAGGAGATAATTTCTCGAGGGTTTCAACTGAAGATATCAATTTGAACCACACCAGAACTTTTTTCTGTGCTGACTAGAGAAAGATGTACGTATATTTTTTCATCACAGTGTTAGAACAGCAGATACACTCACGCAAAAACATAATTCGATCAGACGTTAAAGTGCATGCTATTGAATATGTTCAAAGCTTATCAAATGCATAAAAATGTTTTCGACACAATCAAAAAGGACGGCAATGTCATTCATGGACGTATGTCACGACACAACTTTAAAATTAGGCCAGTCGCAATTTTATATTTTGTTGTGCCATTAAATTCGGAGATTTCACATCTCCTGAAATGATAAAATTTAGAAATACAGCCCAAGAGTGATGAGATAATTCCATTCGTCATAAAATTGAGATAGAAGCGCGATGAACACAAAAAATTCTCTTAGGACAATAATTAACTTTCTTTCAAGTAAAGCTTTGCTCACGAAGTGTCTCACAAGTGATCACAAAAACTACAAATAGGCTGAGATCTGCGCTGAAAAGATCACATAAGTTCCACCAAGTACCAGAAACGCTGGAATGCCCCAATTCAAACACTTAATTACGAGTGCTTTTTGAAAACTCACGATTCCGAACTTAGAAATCAGCTTGAAAAAATTCAGTCAGGGAATCCAGACTGTAATTGTTGTCCAATAGATCCAACAGAAGAGGAACTCTTGATTTTACGTTCACCCCCTGAAACTTGTACTGGTCAATGTACAAATCCGTGATCATTCCTGGGAAAAAAAGAGACCAAATCACATGAATAATCGGACTGGACTGCAGTGCAGTGCATTAAAGTGTGTTTCCATTATTGACACACAAAAAAAGACTCAGATGAAGAAGGCACAAATTTTAGCAAGATTTGATTCTTAGCTTTTTAAAATTTGTCCAAAGGCACAGCAGTAAAATCCTTTAACATAAAAATTAAGGAACAATTGTTGCCTTTTCCAGTCCCAAAAATTTGTGAATTTCAAGAACAAGTTACAAGCTTAAAAGACAGAATTACTTAAATTTAAAAAAGGACAAATTTACACTTACAACTTTATGATTATAGATTTATTATGATGTACAATAAAAGGACTTTTGTTTTCTTTAAAGAATTTTTATGATTATTGTGTCATAATATAATTGAATGAGTCCTGAAACATGTTAAGAATACCTCATTCTCATTACAACTTTCACATGCTCCCCAATTCCACTTGGCAAAAACCATGATCATTAGACCAACTCATTTATGTAGTCTGGTCACTGGTCATTCCCTCCTGACCACCCCAGTTTACTTTCTGCATTATTATATACGCAGTTATGCACCTGTTTCAAGCATTGGGTGAATCTATAAAGGAGAGTCCAAAAACTCTTTTGGCACTCATTGCTGATTTAGTCTACATTGTGATCTGTTGACTTTTGGATTGAACTGTAGACACACCTATACAGTACCTTCGTACAGTATCAGAGAAGTAGATTCATTTTGCATTGCCCTGGCCATAAGACTTATACTTCTTAATATGTGTTTATCCTAACAAGCAACCACCAAATTGAGGCAAAAGACTGAAAGCAAAGAAGACATTCAATGAGTTAGTTGTTGATTTCAGCTGTTGCGGCAGTTTAGGATAAAAATTGAATATAATATTTTCAAGCTAATGTATAGCTTGAGGGGATTCTGTTTTGCAAAACAAAACTCTTTAGGAAACAGATACATTTTGTTGTGCGGGACCCTATTCATTGGTTTAAAAAGGAGGATTAAATTTTTTAACCTTGAAATAAAGTTTTAAAATTAAAAAGTTCAAGCTATGATAATAAGTTTAAATTAACGGGGGAGGGAGAGGATCCTTCCAAATATTTTAGGAGAAATGAAACATAAAAATAGCTCTATTTGTCAAGGATTTCCTTCAATTCCTGCCCAGGGAAAATCAGAATTTCAGGAAATGTTCACATTCGCTGCCACTATCACGGAAATAGTCAAGATTGATGCGATTTTCAAACCTTATAAATTTTCTTTCGAAAGATTATCAATTGCAGTACTGCGTCTGAAATTTAAGTAAACTCTTTGAAAAAGTACTAGACTTGCAAAACTTGAGTACCACTCTCGTACACCGGACTTCAACTTACCGTATAATCTGTCCAAGTAACACGGCTGCTTGTTGTACTGTGCCTTCAACTGGTCAGCGTTCTTCAATATTTCTTGATACTCGGAATCCAGGAAAGAAATGTCGCTTTCGTGAAGTTCAATTTCTTTCAGCCCGTCAATCAGCTGAACTTGCTTGGACAACTTCAAGTGAGCTTGCAACTTCGGGCTCATGAGACTCAATGCGTGTATAACACTTTCTTTGGAAACATCTGGCAATCAAACATTCTCGTATACAAGATCATCACTGAAAAAAAACAGAATTTTCAATAGTATTACCACAAGATAGCTCCAATCGGATCATATTTCTGGTCGCTTCTTTCGTCAAAAACTCCTTTAAAATAGAAACGGTGGAGACGTTGTCAGATCTGAATTGTGCTTCTCCTCGTCTAGGGCGAAAAAAATTGAGCACACCTTTAGTAAAAACTCGATCACAACACAAAATTCACGATGTTACTTGTATTCACACTCCAGGATAGTGTCCAGGAATGTAGATGCAAAATACCAGGTTGCAGAATCCTCAGCTGGAGGCCTTTCGGGGATCTCAGGTAAGCAGGAAAACACCCACGAGTGCACTTCGGCAAAACTGAAGTTTCCCTTCAGGATCAATACACTGAAGGGTCTGAAAAAAAATCAAACTTATACATAAACAAACTTCAAAACGCTATGATAGGGCCATAACAATTTAAATTTTATTAATTGTACACATGATTTCAGGAGAAGAATCCACTTCATAAAATAATTTCATTGAAGAGTCATATCTTGAGCGAAGCGCAGAAAAAGTTGCCAGGGTGACTTTTGAAAATATTGTCCGCAAAATAAGTCCAGGGCTGCATTTCTTTTTTTTTTCTTCTGCCAAAGAATAATTTTTCTCAACAATAATTGTTTTTCAGTTCAAATCATGCGTCATCACAATTTATATTCCCAGAACTTTTGTCAGACCCCCTCGTTGTGCTAACCTGTTGTTGTCAAACTCCTTGGTCCTGGTGTGCAGTGACAGCGGCTTGATCGGAAAGGCCCTCACGACGCAACTTTTCGGCTGAACTCGCGGGATAATGTAAGCCTGTAGAGTGCCATACTGGCCCTCGATCGTTCTGATTTTCACCTCCAGGCGAGTGGTATTGGCCTGGCACCGGTAAGTTGCGAGCAAGTGGTTCCTGATTCCGGAAAGTCTTTCCTTCTCGGTAGCCGATGCATCCGCCGGATCCGGGTCGCATTTGGAGAAGGAAACAACCGCAGAGTTTTTCTCAAAATCCAGAAGGTCCACCGGAATGTCGCTTTGCAGAAGAATGATGTCGATCGGGGTTTGAACTTCCAGGCTGACCACGTATGAAGCTTCCTCTCTGTTCAGAATCATCTGGAAATGAGCGAGTAGAAAAAAAAATTGTTGAAACATTCGCAACATACAGTATTCTCGTCGGTCAGTCTCAACCTGGCGGAAACGTCCAAAGCAAGCGTGACAGACAGAGAGCAAGAGAGAGAGATAGAGAGAGAGAGAGAGACAGAGAGGCAGAAAGAGACACAGACAGACAGACAGAGGGAGAGACACAGAGAGAGAGACAGAAAGAGACACAGAGAGACAAAGATACACAGAGAGAGAGACAGAAAGAGACACAGAGGGAGAGACACAAAGAGACAGTCACAGAGACTGACAGGCAGAGAGAAAGACAGATGGAGAGACAGAGAGAGTCACAGAGAAAGACACACACACACCGATATAGATAAACAGAGAGACAGACAGACAGAGAACGAGAGCGCTTTCTATTATGCTTTTTCAGGAATTCAATAACAATTCATGCAAAAATCAATTTATACATTTTCAAAATGCCTCCTTTAAGAACAATATTGCAGCGTTTGAGGCCCTCAATAATAAGCACACAGCACCCCTCCGACTCGGTGTCAAATAACGATTGACATCAGCGTTAGACCATTAAAATCTTTTTTGAAACAAAAATGAACTACAATAGATTTTTGGTCCGTGAACATTTTCAACCGGCATGAAATAAACTATCAATCCGTACCTGATCCTTCACGAAAAACGTCGGGACAGCGGATAAAACTCCTTCTGATCCCTGCGTTTGAGAGTGATAGTTCTTCCGCTCAACAGCCACCATTTCTTGAAGCTCTTCAATTTCATTTCTAAATAAAGATTTTTTCGAGAAAATAAATCCTGAACATATAATACAAATTTATAAAACGTAGAAAAGGGGAAAAAATCAACGAAAAGCTCACTTCAGCAAATGGATTTTTTCATGCAGTCGCACAGCAACCGTGCCCCCAGATGTGACCCCAAGCACAAGGTGTTCAGGACAATTGGTAAGACCAAAAATCATTCCTCGAAAAAAAAGAAGATAAAAATAAAAAATCCCAGTCAGGATTCAAAAATCAAAACATGCGTTTTCCAGTCGATAGGCAAACATCAGCCATTCAAGAAGCGCCCATTCGTAATCCCACTCACAAAAACCGCATTTAAATGAGTATAACGCGTCCTGCACAAGGGTTTTTCAATTAAAAATTTTGATAAAATCGTATCCCCGTGTGAGACGCGCGCCCCGTTTTTTAAGTGACCCTAAAACCACAAGATTTCAAAAATAATGTCACCCAAATTTGAATTTAGACATTACCTGGACATGCATTTGACTAATTTGAAATTGTTTCTACGAAACAAAAAAGGATTTCTGTTGACGTTTGCCTAAAATTGTCCATTAGAATCAAGTAAAATGCACACCAGAATCCCCGAAACTTTTTGAACAATGGTTACCCACCAATGAAACACACCCCACCCCTCCTCCCTTTTCTTCTCAAATTTGAGAAAAAAAGGTGCATGCGGTACTCAAGAAAATATGGTATTAAGCAAACCCTCAGCCGCAAAATCCAAGATCAGAAACTCCAAAAGCACTCTGAATTTCTAAAAATTTAAAAATCACACCATGCAACTTCGCGTCAATAGAGATCTTAACAGGCAGTCATCCGAAAAAAGCACACTTCTATCTCCAACCAAATCAAAACAAACCTCAGCTTCTGGATCCTATCTTTACCACCCAGGATACCTAAAGCTTCGGGTTCTAATCCAATGACGGCCTTTCCTCGGCCCCTCGTCAGACCAAAAATCCAACCTTTCGATCGTATTACAAACACTTTGACTCAATGAACCGAACAAAATATGCAACAGATCACAAGACAACGGAACACAACTCACCAGAAAACGTACTAACGAGAATCTCTTGGTATCCTTCATGGCCCACAATTCCTCCAGCCACGGTGGTGACTGATTCGCTCCCTGCCTAAAATAATGCAACACTGTACAGTACACTGATTGACATTGCAATAGTTAGTGAGAAGCCATTAAAATATACATAATATATACTTTATAGTAAATACGAGGGTTGTCCCACTTCGGGGCGACCTTGGGTATTTCTAGAGAAAATATGACTTTAAAAAAATTATACAGTAGTTTGGCCCTAAATGTTATAAGGTTCTGGGATTTTCTTCAGATTTTTTAAATAAAATTTCATTTTACTGCTTGATGAGAGAAAACTTGTCAGTTCCTGCCAGAGATCTCCTCCCATGTCACAGGGAGCTAAAAGTTTGTCAGCCCAGCTAAAAGTTGAAATTTTTGTGCTATTTTAAACATTTTTTATACATATTGTGAAATTTTAAATTTTTTTGCATCAGTATATTTGTTCACAACAAATGAAAACCAAAAAACATTCTGCATTTTTCCAATAGCAAGGGTCTGGTTTCTGCCTCTCCAGCAACCGTGCGCTTTTCTCGGAAAAAGTGAAACTCACATAATTAAAGCGATGCAACAACGTCTCCGCGTCCTGGTACGAGTACAAGTCCACACTGCCGTCTTCCCTCCCCACAATGAGGTCCTTGTATCCGTCCCCGGTAATGTCGTGGTGGGCCATGCAAGAAACGGCGCCGGATCGCACAATCCCGGTATTGTAGTCCTCCGTCATGATCCACTCGATCGTGGCGGACGTCGTGCCGAGTTTCACCATTCCAACGTGTCCGTCTTCCGTACCGAACATGACCGAGTCACCGGACACGCCGCCGTCGCCGTCAGCGAGTTCCAGACACGTCGGCACGCTTTCCAGGGTCACTTCGAAGGCCATTTTGCTGCCCTTGATCACTCGCAGGCAACGGTCGCCGCACGCTATAATTGTCGTCAGGCCAGTTATCTAAAAAAGAATAATAAAAAAAATTGCAGACATTGTTCGAGGAAGTGCAAAATACAAAAAATACGGAGTTATTTCGAGAATTATGATTACAGTGACCCCCACCCCCACATGCGGACACCTCGACATGGGGACGATTCAACATAGGAACATTTATTTTTCAATTAAAAAATCAATAAAATGGTCCAACATAGGGACACTGACTCGACATGAGGACATTGCATGATAAAATTGCCAATTACAATTTTAGGAAAATCGATTTTATAAGGCTTACTTGCAAGAAACAGAAAATTCCAACCCTAAGATGTATGCAAGGAAAATTCTTTGGTACTTTTCCTATAACTTTCCCATCAATTCAGCTAATTAAAAAAATTACCTGCAGCACAGAGGAACTTCATTCTCTTTTTGTGACTTGGATGTAATTTTTACAGATGCCAACAATTCCATGAACTGTACAATGGCATACTATTCAATGCTCGAAATGTTCTCATTAGGTTGAAAATATATTCCCTGAATCAAATTCAAGGGGCAAAAACCTTTTTTCATGGAATTCTGAAGAATATTTCTTCCATAGAACACCAATTAAAAATTATATAATGTAAGTCTATGGGAAAACAAGACTCAACTTAGGGCTAAGAACTACGTGGTTAATACAGGCGTAGACCCCCAGTGTGATATAAAAGATCAGGCCCCTAGTCCAATATCGGTTCTCAGCGTGGCAACTTGTAGACGGCTTCCGGAGTTTTGTAAACTTTTTTAATGAATTTTAAAGATTAGTGAGACCCCGAGTTGCGGACGTAATTGGCGCTCAGGCCTTGTCCTTATGTCAGAACGTTCGCATGTCCGATCACATTTTCTCAGACTAAAATGGGAAATATCATAATTGGTTCTCTAGTTCATCGAAAATTAGGAATAACCAATTCTCACGCCCGGAAAATATTGTCAAAAATATCTTAAAATACTCCATGTGACATCAGCAAACTTGACCTTGAAAATGTACCTTGTTTGGAGGGAGGCAAATAATATCTCTGATTTCATCTCCGCAGAGGTAATAGCCTGTTTCCACACAATCTCGATAATGATTGTAAACGTAGTGAGAACACACCAGTAAATCACTGCCCCTCACACACCTGAAAGAAGCAGAAAACACACTTTTCTCGAAAACCTAGGACGGATTCTGTTTTTAGAATGTAAGCATTATCTCAATGTTCAGACACATCTTGTCACATAAGCAAGAAAACAATCACTGAAATGAAGTAATATACTTCGAAAAATCGACAGACAATACTGAACTTCATGAACTAAACCAAGAAATACGCGTCTAAATTAATAAATCTCATCTAACTGAACTAATTATATTTAATGCATTCACAAATAAAAATTACGCAAAATGCTCTCAAGTATTTTTACTCGAGAAATTGTTCCATAACACATGTACTGCATTGTATGAATAATTATACTGCACAATACAATAATTCGTGATGATGAGCAATGTTCCTTTTGATGGATAATTAATTCCAGGATTTTCCTCATTTTTCGTAACAAATTTAAAAAATCCATACTTGAAAAAAAATAGCTCACATATGTTGGATGTCTTCGGCAAGATTGGTTCCAAATCCCAAAAATTGTTTCCCCTTCTTGTTGAACCCTTTCACGGTTGAGCCATAACACGCAAATATTTTATCCTGAGGATTTCCTGCACATTAAAAACCATTAAAATAATAATTTACGATAATTAGGTTGCCAAGAAGTAAAAAAAAAGGACTTACCTGCCGAGCCACTCAAGCTGACCCGATTGATCCTCGTTTCCGGCAGAGTTCTAAAGATTATGTTTATTTCTCCTTTCTTCACGTGGAAAACTTGCAGGACTCCATCTTGATCACCAACAACCACCTAAACCCAAAACCAGTCTTCTCAAATCGCGTAAAAAATTGATATCGTTATAGAGATTAACCTTTTGAGTGGCTTTCTCTTCTTGTTGGTTAGCCGGGAAAATTCCCAGGCAATATCTACTTGTTGAAGCTACTTGTAAATAATCCACCCTGTTCAACAACACCTCCATTCCTGCCTTGAACCAAAATCAGAAAAGAATAAAAAAGAGGCAACATTTTTCTCATTATTGTCACTTAAAACAAATGTCGATCGACTGACATGTAATTATATCATTCCACAAACTTATCAAGGATCCAATCAAACAATAACCTAATGAAATTCAATGCTATCGTCACGAGGCTTTGGATTTTCGCGTAAAATCTTGCATGTATGAAAACCATCTTCCAGCATGAACATGATGCTCTCTATCCTGAATCGTCATCGGCCCCTGTGAAGAAAAAAAATTGAGAAATATTACATTGATTCAACATCAGGAGAATATGTAAAAATATAGGGATAAAAGAATAGTGATACAAATAAAGCTAGTTTCGCGAAACAGCGGAAGGTCCCATTCCATTTAAAGCGGTTTATATTATTGGTTAACCAAAATCTTCCAAGTATTCATTGGTGAATCTAATACCCTTAAAAAATAGTACAGTACTTCCCAGTTCGGACCAGAACAAGCATGCGACTTCAAATGACCAATAGCTTCAGGCACTTAGAAGCTACTGGAAAAAAATTATGAATTAGGGGTCGATTGCTCTCATTTCTATGAAATCTAGCTTCTTTCCCCCGTAGTGAGATGAACAATATTCAGGTGAAGAAAATTCGAACTCTCGAAACAATTCTAGTTTTCACGAGGTTTCGCGGACTGTAAAACTTTCTAAATGTCAACCCCTAACTACTGTATTAGATTTAACGAATTTATACTAGGATTGTCCCATTGCGGCGCGAAATTGGTTTTTTCTGGAGTGGCAGGACTGTAAAAAATATTATCGTATGGCCCATGAATTTCCAAGGTTCAGGGATTTTTAAAAACTTTTTTAAATTTACTGCACAATGCTGAGTGAAAACTTTCCAGGAACGGCCAAATTTCTCCACCCATGTCACAGGGTAGCAAAAAATAGATATTCTTTGTTACATTTCGTATAATGGTTAAAACAACAAAAAATTTAAAGAAAAATTCAGTTGGTCTGAAAAATTTGCAGCACCCTGTGACACGGGTGGAAAACTCAGGCCTTAACTGGAAAGTTTTCACGTATCACTGTGCAGTAAATTTAAAAATGCTTTTAAAAATCCCAAAACCTCGCAAAATCATGGGTCAAACATTTTTTTACAGCCTCAACTACAGTATTTCAAAAATAAGTCGCGGCGAAGTGGGACAACCCTCGTACTTTAAAATCCTTCAATCCTCATTTAGAATCGGGAAAAAGTTATTTCTTTAAAAATGAGCCGCGTTTTTAATCGGTGAACTAACCCTGATTTCCAAGAGCAACAAATAGGCAACGACGTCCGCAATAGTAACAGTCCATCCGGCAAGAAACATGTTCCTCGCCAACGAATTGTCCAGCAACTGGAAACATAAGATTTCTTACGTAAATTTCTGACTTTTTTTTTATTTCGTCAAAAGATATATTTTATACAGTACTTGAAACAAAATGGAACTTGAAATGGACTCGCGAGAATGTTTCGCAGAGTCGTTCAGTGCCAGCCACTGGATGATCACAGCAGTTTCAATCCTAGATCCGGTTCCGGGAACCCTGCTTTTTCCAGCGGCACTCGCCAGGTCCCATAAGTCTTTAAACTGAACCAAAAAAAATTTTTTTGAAATCAATTCATAGATTCGGAGCAATGAAGAACAATAAAACTTACTTTCCCGTCTAAGCCTAGTAAACGTTGCACAGTTTCCACTTCGGCCATTTCCACAGTTCTGCGAATCAAAGTGAATGATAAAATTTTCAGTCGAGTTTTAAATTCTGGTTTCGGTTGAGGCAAAAGCAAATATGTTTTCAAGTGAATGGTACCTTTTCCCCTCGCGTTATTTAAAAATCCACGATTAATGGAAAATTTTGAAACAGAATCGGGCTGAAAACGTAGTTCAGGGTGTTACAGTCCGATGAAACGCAGAAATAAGGCACAGGTTAGGAAATTATTCCGGTACGAAGGACATTCATATCCAAATAAAAAGGAAAATTCAATAAAAACAAATGGCATAAAATTGAAAAAAAAAACCTTTTGGTTCACGATACCAATATGATCTCTTTCTTCGAAAAATCTTCTTTGAAGTTCAATTAATAGCATGAAGAAGACAGCGAGAGAAAAACTTTCGGAGCTTTTTACAGCACGATGCCTCCGACTTTTGGATTTTCTTAACCTTTACATAGATGTCGCGTGAGTCCATTGCCCCAAAATATTGTAATACTGTACTGTGTTCATACTGTGTGCGACGAAACGTGAGGAAATTCAGCGGACATCAGTGCAATATTCCAGAAATTATGATGCCAAGTGTTGATATGAATCAAGCCAACGACAGAAAAAGTCCATCGTTCTCAAAATTGATTTTGCTTCCGAAAACGTTAAAATTGTTCATAACATTCTTTGCCTTTCAACTATTCCGCATAGGGGCAAACAAAGAAATAGGGAAAAGCAACCATTCCTCAAAGAAAACCTTTTGATTTGAATATTTCGCCGAAACAATTCTCATCACGCGATAATTGAGTAAAAAAAACTCCAGAATCATCTTCCAAATCATCCAAGATAACACAATAAACAAAACATACGAAGTCGATACGAGAACGAAACAAAATTTTTCTCACACTATTCTGTCACACAATCACGCGTGTATTGATCGCAGGAAACATTTTCCCACAAATCGACGGAAATTCTGTAAATCCATTCGAATTAAACGGACTCGTCGAACAAGAAAACGAGGCAAGACCGAACGCAACGTTACTGTCATAAACGGAATCACAACAGTACAAAAAATGCTTTCCCTTCTGAGAATTGATGTTCAAACAAACAATTTTATAAATCACCAGGCAAAACTTTCAGAGAAAACAGAAAAATCCCACTTTTCTCTCAAATCTAGATAAAAATAATGGTAGGCGATTAATACGATAATTTTCCATCCCATAGAAGGATGATACATGTATAAAAGTGCTCATCATAACTTTTCTGTATACAGAATAATATCCCAACTGGACGCCTTTTCCAGATACCTGTTTCAACTTTTCAAGCATGCTCAAGTTCACCAATGATTGAAAAATATAGGGAAAATATGACCTTTGACAGAACAGCTCATTCAACAATAAAGTCAACACTTAATCGAGAAAAAAATTCAACAAAAATAAGTTAAGCTCAGCTCTGTACACTGATATATGTAGATATTGCTTCATGGCACTCCTCTAAAAGCACATTTATTCCGCAGAGGATTTTTTTTCTTTCAATAATTAGCACATACATCGACAAGAACTGCCGCAAAATGTATCAAGATCGCGAAGTTCTTCGGTGGACAGAATTTAAAATTTTAAAGCATTTCGACAATTTTTTGATAAGGCAGAGACGTACATGACTCCACAATAAATTGATGAACACCTCGAGTTCAATGTTTGACAACAGTAAAGTAAAAAATCTCACTTATGCATTTGAAATTCAATCAATCAAACTCACAGAAGGATATGGTTCATACGTTTTTTCTGCACAATTGGGTTCTTCAAGGACCAACATTTCTGACTTAAAATCCTCCAAGGAACTATGTAAGATTCATCATGAAAAATTGGGTTTATTTGAAAGCCTCTTTTTATTCGCCACACTTTTTTCTTGTCTAATTGCTGCCTTGGCTTAGTGAAAGTTCGTGGTCACAAAATTCCCCGGCATTCTTCACATTCGGCGCCAGTATCACAAGAATTTCCCAAGATCATGATCTTTTCTTTTCTTTATGGAAACATCGGTTTCAGACGTTCCTGGGATATTACCATAGAAATTGTCATTCATCATTGTTTTTCATTACTGCACTGTATTCGACATGTTTTGCAGCACTTCGACTACTTCAAAAATCATAGAACATTTTCATACTGATCGAGATGCTCTCTCAACTCCGTTTTCTTTCCATTTCAATGGAGATGAGCAAAAAAAAAAAAACAAACATAAAACAGACAAGTCAGGAAATGATCATGTGCATCAACTCTTGCACACTATATAAAAAAACGCATTTCATGGGATCAAGGATCGATTGAAAATTTAAAAATGCACAATTTTTTTTTTTCATTTATCCTCATTCATTATCAGTTCAGAACCCGACAACTAGAAAATTTTACATAGAAAGTCAGAAAGCCAGGGGACGGACCGTCATTGTTCTTTTCTTTTTTTTTTCAATTGTTATTGCTTCTGTCCCAATTTCCGTGGTATGTCTGCCTTCACACATCTAAGCACTCAATTTATTTTATTGCGTTCAACATTAGCACTGTGCAGTTTTCAGCGTTCGTTTGCATACTATTGCATCGGTTATGTTCACAATTAGTTTAAGATTCCTATTCGGTAAAAAAAATCACCGAAACGTTTCATGACATACTGTAAAAAAATGTGAAAAAAAGTTAAACATCCCCGAGAAAAAAAAAAACGACGTTATGCGCATTTCCACCCCGGCCTTCAATCTGGAATAAACACATCCTCTTTCCCTTTTTTTCTCGGGAAAATTGACAGTTATTGCTCTGCTCGAACTATCTTCTTCTGTTGTTTCAAGAGCACGAGCAAAAAAGGATGATAAAACAAGAAATAAAATGAAGATACTTTCCTCAATATCTTCCGGGAGTAAAAACTGAAACAAACTTTCAACTTTGGTCAGGTCACGCCAGATATTTCACGAAGTATGCCCTCAAAATAAGTCCTCCTACTCCGAAATATTCCCAGAAAATTATTCATATTCAACGGGGTTTTGCTTCTCATTCAGCGGCATAAAAAAATACAGCATTGATTGTCATCATACAGCTGGTTAGACTTTGCGACGATCCGACCCACACTTCAAAAACATGCCTGATACATGGAGAGATCCGAAGGTTTGAAGAATATTCAGAGGAGTGACATTTCCCTTTTTTTTCCCGTATGATAAGCAACACATTCAGCATTTCAAAACATAATTGCCAACATCACGATTGACTTGAAATGTTTCTTCGCTTCAGTGGCAGTCTCAGATCATTGAAAAAATTTCCTCGGAATTGTACCCCGACAGATGATAAATGAAATGCACAGTGACCACAAAAGTACAATAAAGCAACTTGAGATCTTGAAGGGGAGTCCACAGAAAGTACGGCACAAATATGGATGACCAGTCTGCAACTAAAGCACATTCTGTTTGAAAAACATAAAAAATCATCTTGATATTCGCAACCCATTCTTAAATGTTCATAAGCGGTCTAATAAAGGATGATGAGATTCTTAAGGGAAGTAGAAGTCTACGAAATATTATGATCACCGTATTTAATTCCAACACCAAAATACGCTTTCAGGAAGTACTTCTAGCAGTGGATTCGCCAGCCAAACAATACACGGTAATAAAAAATTGAGGCTATAGTTTCGAGAAATTTTGAAATTTGTCACCGGGAACTTTGAATTTTTGAAAGTTGGACACCTCAAAAATGTCAAAGCCATAAATGCATTGTTAAATTTTTTTGGATAATTCTTTGAAATTAGAACATGTTACCGAAAAAATTAGCGACGTTCGTTTGTTTTCCAGACCAATTATTTATGCGCCTTCCAATTTTCTGAGAAGCGATCCACGCATTCGATATACAAGCATTGTCCCAGTCGGAAGCGACCTCTGATATTTTTCGAATTAGTATTACAGTAATCTGAGATCTTATCTCAGAATTAAAAAAAAAAATTTCACTCATCATCATGCAGTATTTTTTGTATTAAAAAAGAAAAAAAAAACTCAGAACATTAAAACATCATGGACTGCGTCGTGATTTTTTTTTACTATCACACCTACTCTAAAAATATCAGAGGTCGCGTCCAACCGGGACAACCATAGTATACGGGACACAATTCTTTGATTAAAAAAACGAAACAAGAACCTACCATTTTCTGGTTTTTTTCATCAACCAGATGAAAAACGGCGAAACGTTTTGTGTCGATTAATTCCGGAAATATTGAATGCATCGCTTATTCCAACTCGAAAAAAATAACGTGAAATGTCACTGCTACAATAATTTTCTTCAAACTTTCAGACCTTTTCGGCGTAATTTTCAACATTCCGAAAAAAACAAAACAAATTCGGATAATTTTCTAAATCACTCAATGCCGATGCAAAATGTCACTATTTCTCTTCCTATGCTTATCCTTCAACTTCTTCTTCAGCAACAACTGGGCCTCCTGCGGCAAATCCACCACCTGCAACCCAGCCACGGATTTCATCATGGTCAACCTGACCCTGGCTGACCGTCGGTCCTCCTCCGAATGCACGTTACACTTGGTCGCCGTGCAAATCTTGTGTCCTTGCTCAACGAGAGCCCCGCAAATCTGCTTCAGCAGGGCCTTCTTGTCCTTGTCTTTCAGGCCGTGGTAATGCGTAATGTCTTCCGCAGGACCAGCTGTGTAAGGCTCGTACGGGGACGCAAACGGCTTCGACACGATGAAAACGGACGGCGTTGCGGATGATGATGACGACGACGACGACAGCGTCTTGAGGACGATTTTCGACGGAGGTTTCGACGCTTGGCCAGAGGATGACGACATCTTGTCGGCGTCCTTGAAGGACGTCCGGGAACTGGGGCTCGGGGACGGCGAGAATTTCCGCGGTGGGGATGACGGGGAACGGCTTCGAGATTCCGTCGGAGTTTCCACACCTTTTTGCCGTTTCGCTGTCAATGTGAAGGGAAGAAAAAAATGAGAGTAAAATCTCATTACAACAAAATTCTGGGGACTTCTTAAAAAGTTTGCTTTACTGAATAAATTGTTATAACGAGATTTTCAAAATTAACAAAATTTCTGGCATTCTCAGATTTTCCACTATTTTTTGAAAAGTGATATTCTGAAGAATTTTTTTTAGCTTTAATCATGCATTCCATCAGTTGCATCAACTTCTTCATTTTCAGAAGTTTACGTGAAAAGTTCTTCATTCTACAAGAACGATGTTTGGAACCACTTAGAAGCGATCAGTCACCTTTTGGATTGGAAATTTCAAACTGTGTCTGAAAAGTCCGGATAATTCTACCAGATGAATCAATTGAACATTCCTAAAAAGATTTTGTTATTTTGGAATTGGAAAGTTCGTCATAACGAGATTTTTTAACCATGTTCTCCAAGTGCTTTCTGCCTCGACTTAAGAAAGAGGTTGATGTACAGAAAAAAACGTTATTTGTTGTAACAAGATTTTACTGCAATGCATACCACTTGAGCCTACTGAAAAAACGATGACAAGGGAAATTAAATCGGAAATTGCGGCATTCCCGAAAGAGCTTTCAAAGCGAATGTCAGCGGAAAACTTTGCAGAAGTGCCAAAAAACGGATTCATAAGGTTCAATTGCTCGTAGTTGATTCCCTTCTCCTTATTCTCGCGCTTGAATTCTTGGAAACACAATACTGCACATTACTACACTTCCAGAATTTCCACAAATCCATGAATATTTGTGAAGTCGAAAAAAAAAATTGAACTCACCATTCAATGCATGGTTAACATGGTTGGCGGTCTTCTTATTCTTATGTTTTGATTTCTTCGAATCACTGGTATTGGAAACAAAAGACTGGTTCGAGCCTGCGTCAAAAAACTCGGCGTCACTCGAGTGCTCGCCGTTGAGCACGAAGTCTTCGTCGTTCGAATCGTCGTCGACAACGTCGTCCTCCTCGTTTTCTTCTTCTCGCAAAGCGGCTGTTGCTCTCGCCTGAGCTGCTTTGTTGTTGGCCTTCGAGAAAAATTTTCGTGGGGACACATTCAAGAAAAGCTACATTTCAGAGTTCCAAATTTAGCTAAAATAAAAAATCAGTATACGTCTAATATTCGACAGGGTCTTAGATTTGCAGTAAGAATCATAATTACTTCAACAACACAAATTTAAACCAGTATTTTGAATTAAGTTTCTTTTTTGAAAATTTCCCAGTCAAGAGCAGAGGAGTTACACTAATAATTTTGGTTCGAAGTCAAAATTATTTAAATTAAGATAAGCTTTATAATCGACTACGTCTTAGATTATCAGGGAAAATTCATGATTGCTTTGACATGAAATTCAAACATAATTTTTGATTGCATTTTCTCGTTCGACCATTCCGAGTTCAAGGGCAAAAGAGTTAATACTCCTGATTCCAGTTTAAAGTCGAAATCAAGACACGTTTAATATTCGACGGCACCTCACATTTGCAGCATGTGTGCATAATATTTCCTTTAAAGGTATTTAAAACAAAATCAAACCAATATTTTAATTGGATTAATTTCTTACTATTTTCAATAAGACTCCAAATTTCAGTTCGAAGTGTATGAGGATATTAAGCTAGTAACTGAAGCATGACTGTATGCAACGGACTCTTCCGATTTTGAAAAAAAGGCAATGCAATCAAACGGCGCCTAATACGCGCAGAAAATACGGTACGTTTCAATTTCTTATGCCAAAAACAAGGAAGAAGAGCCAGTGAGTCTTATAATCGAACTCATAAGGTAGTGTATGACAAGAAGAGACTCCAAAAACGGTCTTCACCTCCTGCTTCTGTTTACTGGGCTTGGCTCGTTTCGCAGCTTCGCTTCGGAAATCCCACTCGTCGTCGTCGTCATCCTCGGGCACACCTCCGTCGTCGTCCGCGCCATTGTCCCGATTCGTCTTGGCGATCCTCTGACTCGCAATTCGTGAGCTGGACCTGCCCATACCCATGCACTTTTCCAGATGCGGGGCGAAACGGTAGGCGGCCAGGGTTCGATTGCACTGGGGACACGCGCATTCCAGGGGCTTCTTCTGGCCTCGGGGCTGGCCAAACACGTCCAACTTTGGATCGTCGACCAACTGTAAATAGCATGTGAACCTCGATAACTCAAACCTTCAAACGTCGAATACCTTAAAAAATGTTTTCAAGTCCGTCTGAATTCCTGTAAAAACAAGGCATTCAAGGCCTGTCTACATCAAATGCTTTCCCCTCAAACCTCCATAACTCGAATTTTCTGGAAGACTTCCGCATATTATTTTATTGACACAAGAAAGAGAAAAGCAATACAAATGTGACAATGTGTTTTAAATAATCTAAAATGCTAATCCTACATATGCTAGGAATGCAGGAAAAATTGCCAACCAGCAGAGAATTTTTTCAGCAAAAATTGTCTGCCAGAACAGGAAGAAAATACTGTATTGGACTATTTCCTGACTCATGCCTTAGTTCCCAGCTGATTTTTTTCTTTTCGCACACAATTTTGCAAAAATATCCCGACTTTTTTGAGGAAGGGTGTATAGTACAGTACATTAAATACATACCTTATGGGGTTCCTCATCCTCAGGAACACCTTCTACTGCCTGCCACAGGCCCGTGGAAACAGCCCTGTGGACATCAAATGCATAACCCAGAACCACGTCGTCCAAGAGGTAGTTGAAGATCCATTCAGTCACTCGGTCCTCTGCAGTGTCCAACTCCTCGTCCTCCTCGTTCAACTCATCATTCACCGACACAGACGATGCTCCCGCCATTTGCATCAGCGTCATCACTCTTGACAAATAAGAACTTCTTTCTCACTTCGGAGAAATTTTAATCCACTCAGCTCGTTGAATAAAGAAAAAAATCACGAGCGCATGGATCGACTGAGGGCACTGAGTGTCACATTTTCTGTTTCATCTGCATATAGCACTCTTTCGCTAATGTTGATTGGGTTGTGATCCCCTTGCATTGTTTTCTTTGTTTGTAGAGTCTCTGCAAACTCAGTTGTTTAAAGAGTTAGGGAGTTTGTAGACGCTTTTTAGGGACGTCTTAGAAAGTTTTGTGATTCTACTTTCCCCATGTAGGGAAAACCGCAGCTTTTTAAATCAATCGCACTCACGGATGTCGGCTTTATAATTATTCAAATGAATTAGAATTTGAGAGGAAAATACCAAGCTTATAAGTTCGAAAATTTAAGAAGGTGAACCTTTACGAATTTTCCAAGAAGTACAGGGAGTCCGGACATTACCGTGCGGAGGAGAAAACCGCATCTTTCAAATTTTTGATTAAACGCACGCAAAAGAAGCGAAGAAATTGAAGGGAAGTATTTCGAACATTGTCATACCAATTTCTTGAAATATTGATATTTCGGCTTCAATATCTTGTAAATTCTCATGGAACAAAAAACCCTCGTGTGAAGAACTTGGAATGACTCAATCAAATAAAATGCTATTGTGACTGCCTGCGACATCTATCTAAACTCATGGAATTACTAATTTCAATAAACGCAGCAAAATTCATTAAGAGGATTAAAAATTCCACATTGATGAATGACTTTTTACACGAGCGGTAAAAGATCGGATTATCCCTTCAGATATGTCTTTCCGAACGTTACGAGATTTTTTCATAGCTTGTGAACGATTGAAGCGGAGAAATGAAAAAAAAAACTCCCGAAACGTCGTTGAATCCAGTATACGGGGCACGGAATCATGAAGTTCATTATTTATTATTATTTATTTATTAAAATTATTTCACTCGACCAGCCTCCGTCATTTTTAATTTCATGAACTAAAACACTGGCTCGATACCTTCTTTCATCAGAATTATGTATTGAGCTGCTTCCGCACCAGGGAAAAGTCCAGAAACACAGAACTTCGGAAACAATCGACAGAATGAAAAGCAACTCATTCCACATAATAGCGCAGCACTCTTCAAATTTTCCTCTCATGCACGAAATCAACAACTATAACACGAAAACGCAAGCACTCGTGGCTCATCGATACTTTCCAAACCACTTTGTATCATTGGGTGTGATCCAATTGTGACAACCCAAGATGTTATTGCGAACCAGGTATTCGAAGGTGTAAGGATTTTCGAATACGCGAAAGAGGGTGCGGAGTTATGCCAGCAGAAATAGCTTTCAAAGAACCCAATGTTGGGCCCGTAACTTACCGTCTAACACCCGCTAAAGGCAGTCGTTGCGAACGTGGACTAGTCGTTTTTGACGAACATCGGGACACGATAATGAATTAATTCTCCGGTGAATCGAAAAAGTTTTTTTTTCAAGTCCTGGCTTCAAGTTCAGGTTGAAACGAATTCTTGGTAAATTCTACACAAAAAAACTAGATTCATACAAAACCACGTTTATTTTGCAGTGACGCTTTCCTGCGTGGGGCAGTTGAAGTGAGACTTTTCTACTCACAAGATCTGACTGACTGATTCTGGAAATCTGGATGAAAATTCGATGCCTAAATGCCTCTCGCCAAACATCTCAACCTTCTTTAGGTATAGAATTAGAGAATGCAAATGATGGAACACTCTCTTCATTCGAACAAGCGAAAGATGCACTGTTAACATAAGTGATCAAAAGTGTCACTCCACAAGAAACAAGGTTATTTTGAGCGGTAGAGAAGCCAAACACCTCTCTTCCAAATTAAACGATATTTTCCAAAATTTTCTCAAGGGAATTCCCATGCAAAAAATCCACGTCGTGATTTTGTTATTTAATTGCAAAAATTCAATCATAAGAATAGAAAATGCAGTGAAAACTCGTCACTCACCTCGGCAAATTCACATTTCCCTGCGAGCTCCAGAATTATTCTTCCGGCTTTCACCGGCGTCGTGTAATGATGAATATTGCCCAAGGGAGGCGGCACTGCGAAGCACGGGACTTTTAAGCTCAACTTTTTACTTTTTAGCACGTGTTTAAGTCGCGTATTAAAATACGATTTTTATTTCTTCATGCATTTATGTTATGTTCAAAATAGTTTGGAGTGATTATAGTTTATTGGTGAATTGGCCGAACTTCGCGTCATGCTTTCGATTTTCATCTGCTGTTATAACTTCTATTAAATCTGAAATATTAAATTACTAAAATTTTTATCTGATTAAAATATAGTGTGTTTTAGTTGTTGAGGCGTATTCTTTGCCTGTTATAGAAGTAAATGGCGTTCAATTGGGTCTCTAGAAAATATTTAAATCTTCCTTCCAAAATAAAAAACTTGAACTTCTACTTCTGAAATTTTCTTCCTCCTTAACAAATACAGTACACATAGCTGAAGTAATTTTTTTCGAAAAAGTTGAATTGATCCTTAAAAGCTAGGATCCAAAAAAATGGTGACAAATTAACCGGAAATTTCCTCACAATACCAAATTTTAATTTAGAAAAAAAATTAATTCTTCTTGATCGAATCGTTCACTGTACCGTATTCTTCGATTTTATTTGGAATCACGAAAATGAAAACGATTATCAAACCTTGGACGAGTGGGACTTCCACGGAGCATCGACACGATACACAGCAAACATTCTGCTTTCCACAAACTTTCTCAACATCGTCATTCGCATCATCTCGAAATGGCCGAACTTCAATTCCCCTCCAATTAGGGCCTAAACACGTAAAAGAATAAAAACTGGAAATAAAAAAAAAAAATCGAAAATCACCTGAACGCCGTATTGGCCGTGTATGAGCCTATTGTGGTGCTCTTCCGGACCTCGCATGTATTCTAATTTACGTTGCCACTTCGGAGGTCGAGCATTGTTCGGGATTACCGGTACTTTGGGATAGAATGGCAAGCGTCGCTTCTCCGGNATATTGAAGATAATTTAGACTTTATAATTTAATGATTTTAAAAATAGACTAATTTTATATCACACAAAATCAACAACTCCGCATAAGAAACGGACAATATCTTCATTTACCGCAAGTTAACCCAGAGGAGAAAATATTTAAATCTTCCTTCGAAAATATAAAAACTTGAACTTCTACTTCTGAAATTTTCTTCCTCCTTAACAAATACAGTACACATAGCTAAAGTAATTTTTTTCGAAAAAGTTGAATTGATCCTTAAAAGCTAGGATCCAAAAAAAATGGTGACAAATGAACCGGAAATTTCCTCACAATACCAAATTTTAATTTAGAAAAAAAAAATTAATTCTTCTTGAGCGAATCGTTCACTGCACAGTATTCTTCGATTTTATTTGGAATCACGAAAATGAAAACGAGTATCAAACCTTGGACGAGTGGGACTTCCACGGAGCATCTACACGATACACAGCGAACATTCTGCTTTCCACAAACTTTCTCAACATCGTCATTCGCATCATCTCGAAATGGCCGAACTTCAATTCCCCTCCAATTAGGGCCTAAACACGTAAAAGAATAAGAACTGGAAATACAAAAAAAAAAATCGAAAATCACCTGAACGCCGTATTGGCCGTGTATGAGCCTATTGTGGTGCTCTTCCGGACCTCGCATGTATTCTAATTTACGTTGCCACTTCGGAGGTCGAGCATTGTTCGGGATTACCGGTACTTTGGGATAGAATGGCAAGCGTCGCTTCTCCGGCAACACGATATCTGGAAACAAGGTTCAGCATCTTTCTTCAATCGGGTTTGTGATTTTTCGATTGAAATTGTGAAATTAGCAGAAATAAGTATGTTTTTTGAACGGCACTAAAACAAATATCGTAATCTTCATCGAAGTGAATCACGATTAAAGCAACGAATGATATCACGAATTTCTCAGCGAAATAACCAGTAGCTGATGGGGCAGCATTTCTAGCATAGCGACGATCCCTTATTCAACGGATTCCTTTGCAAATACTGATTGTTTTTGTAAAAATCGAGAAATATTTTATAGAGGAACTTACGCGAAAAATCCGGAGGCTGTGTCGGGGTCTTCACCGTTCGCACAACTTGATAACCAACTCCTTCAAATCCTGGGAGTATAAAATAAGACAAGTCAATAAATCGTCTCCCTCCTACTCGAACGAAAAATGTACTTACTTCCTAACAGAGATTTCAGTCTATGTCCAACACACGTCATTTCGAAAGGCTCTGAAACACAATAAAAAATCCTATACCCTCGTCGCAAGATAAAACATTTGAAAATGAGTTAAAAAGGACGATTTTCGCGTCTAATAATGCATTTTCAATAGACACAAGACAACAAAATTAATCAACGAGAAGATAAAATTTCACAGCCTCGAACGAAATTTCAGTCGTCGTCTTCAATGCTCAAAACCGCTCTGTCAGCCATTGTCGGTTTTTTGAACACAGCCGCCGTGTATAGAGCTATGGGAAAGAGGGGAAACTCGTAAACTATCTCTGTAATAAAAAAAGCCTCATACGAAAGTGTATACGGTACATATTACACCTGGGAGCTCAAAAACCTTTTCGCGCACACAGAAAGTACCCAGAAGCCTTCGAATAGAACAATTAAAATTATCGTAAACTTCAACACGGACACAAAAAAAAATTCGTCTTGCCAATGGACAAGGCACCAAAAATGATCACTAAATTCGTCCTTCATGATGAACTTTTGAAAATCCTGGATGATATTTAGATGAAAAAGTGAAACAGAAATACAGTACTCACAAGCAGCTTCCCATTCGGATTTGCTTAGAGTGCCAACCCTGATGTCCCGATCACCTCCGCCAGACTCTTTGGTCAAATTGGCAACGAATCGCTTGGCGTGTTCGTATTCGCCGATGCTTTCAAGATTCCTCTGATTCCTTTCACCACTGGGATACGTTTCCAGGGCTTGCATTCTGCCAAGCAAGCCTCGACCAGCCGACGTGCTGGAATGCTCATCAAACAACTCCTTGAACGTTTTGCGATACACAAGAGTCAGACCATTTCGCTTCGCGATCCTGAAATTTGAAATAAAAATAAAATTTCCGCCAACCAACAAAATGAACAGCCAAACCAAAAAAAAAAAAAACATCGGAATGGAACACATCCCTCGGAACAATTCATCGCATTGAGGAAACATTAAGGTGTGTCTGTATTTTAAACCACCGAATATCACAACCTAAAAGATGCTGCAGCAAACTTTGCAAAGCTGTTCATTCTTTCTTCCTGAAAATTACACCCAGAAAAATGAAAAATAATATTTCCATCGAAGAATTACCGGTACTCCTGGCTCTTCACCAGATACTTTAAAGAAATACAAAATTTAGAGTTTAAACACGGATCAAAGATAATTTTTACAGCTTTTCTTCATCAGAAATTCGTCGAAATTTTCGATTACACCGACACAATTTACCGCAATGAAAAGACGCAATATACTTACTCTACCAAAGCAGGAAAGTAGACTAAGAATTCCGGACAATCCACAACTCCCTCCAGAGAAAACCTGTATTTTGCACCGAACAACGGTAGCTGGCACGGGGGCTGGCCAAAGTTGACTTTACAAATTCTGTTCCCAAACTCGTTCCCCCCAGCTGCTTTCCAACGATGCCTGAATAAAAAAATCAGAGCGTTCAAACTCCAAGAATTTAAATCCTTAATCGTAAGATCATAAAATAACTCACACAATATTATAGGCGTCCGGAAACGTGAGCATGAAGTAACCACCATCCTTGAGACACTCGGAAACATTCGCCAGCGTGTGGTCAGCTTGGGCGAAAGATTCGAAACAGTAATGAAAACTGAATTGACAGCTGACAATGTCCACCGGGATATTCCCGGGATTAATCATGTCCTTCAGCCTGTCCTGTGAAATACGCGTTGCAAAATTTTCATCATCGTCGAGAGTATTAATAAAAAATTCAAAAACCGAACGTACGCGGGTAAAGTCAGCCTCGTAAAATTCGGCAGTGAACGGAGGTCCGTTGAAACGTCTCGAGTTACGTTGCATGTCCTGAAAACGCGATTTGCAACATGCCAACGATTCACTCGCAATGTCAAAACCTGAAATTTGAAAAAAAATTAAGACAAAATGCATACATTTATTTCGAGAACATTTTTAAAATACTGTATGCCTGTATGGTACACCTCACAGGTTGATACAGCAGAAAAAAGCAGCTCATGACCGGGCTCAAAAATCATTCTTTTGATCGCTCTTTCCAACCAGCCAAGCTGAAACTTGAACATCCACTCGATATAAAAAAATAAAAAATGCTGAATTTGATTATCCTCAAATGTTTACCCTTTCAGACTGAAATGCTGGGAAGAAATAAGAAAAGAATGCGTTTCAGCAAGGCGGCACCAATTGATATTTTCCTTCCCTTAGTTCCCAGGCCAATCGTCAAAATTGACATTTCCTTGATTTCCGAGCAGCTGCACTACATTTTAAACATTAGTTCGTCATCTTAAAAAATATATTTACTGTGCACCAAGGCAAAAGTTTTCTGGAGTCCCAGCAGAAAGCCCAATGAGCACATGTTGAAACAATCTCATTATAACAAACTTCCAAATGCAGTGTAACGAACTTTTTGTGGATTGTTCAATAGATTCTCGAGGTAGGAATTCCCTAATTAATTTCAAAAAATGCTTCCAAGTGGTTCCACGCATAACGCCGGAAAGTGAAGAGATTTTCACATCATCCTCCCAGAATGAAGAGATGGTGCAATTGATGCAATGCATGACTGACGCTAATTTCTTATTTTCAGAAGAGCACTCACTTTTTCAAAAAATAGTAAGAAATCTGAGACTGCCAGAAAAGCGAGATCTAATCAATTATGTGTACGTCATATAAGAAAAAATTTTCACTCATTAATTTTGAAACTCTAATAACCAATTATTCAGTGTAACGAACTTTTTCATTTCCACAAAAGATGGTTGTAACGAGATTTTAGTGTACACAGAAAATCGTTGCTGAGAAAGTCTACCCGAATAATTCAAGTACTGTACTGTACATTCAGCCACTCACCAATCAAATGCTTGATTCCGTGCTTGCTCCATTTGCCCAAGTCCCCACCTTTCCCGACACCGATGTCCAACACCGTCAGAGGCTCTTGTGCATCCCACATCCCACCACGTACCATGTCTGACACACTACTGATGAGCATCGACTTGATCCAATTGTTGAAGCTGCGCATGTGGATTATGGAGCTCTGGAACCGATCCTCGATGGACTTTTCTTGAATATTGTTGTAATGCGCTGCTACAACACCTCCGATCCCAATCCGCTGTCTCTTGTTGCGGTCTTGGGAATTGTCTGGTGAACCCGGACGCTTGCCCCTCCGATACTCAGTCATTTTTTATTTATTTTGGTTCCGCACTCTTTCGATAAATTCACCTGGCGTGGAGTAAAAACATTTCATCTTTATTCTGAGAATTAAAGTAAGTTAAAAAAAAAGAATGATCACCAGTAAAAAAAAAGTGCTACATTTTCCGACAGAGATGCAATCACGAATAGAACACTGATTCCTGACAATTAGTTTCATCACTTTTCAAACGGACGGAGGCGTATTTTCCACACAATAGTAATTTTGGCAGATATTTTCTCGAAAATACGACTAGATTGATTCAGAGTGAACACATTTTCCATGAATTCGAAAAATAAAGTCTCGTTTCACAGAAAAGCAGAAGTCTTGCGAATTTTGTTCCAGTTTCAAGCTGCATAATCATGAACACCACCAAAAGTAAGAAAATTAACTCTGGGAAAAATCGTTCGTGCCTCCAATTTCTTTATCACTATTGGTCCGAATCATTTCAGGCGCTCAAATCAAATGTTCCATGAAAATGGCTGACCATCCACTGTTACTCACTCCAGCTCAATTATTATGCGGTAGTTCAGCTTATCCAACTGGACGTATCTGTAAATTGTGGTAGCGAAGCTAGGGTTCAGCTGAGTAAAAGGACTTGATTTCCGGGGAAACAAAAAACTTTCCCTTTAAGGGAAGAAAGAATCCCTTTACTCCACTACTGTTTGGTTTAATTTGAGCCTGGCCTCGTACATTCTCGACCTCGCTTTTCGGAATGCTTCTAAAACAATTTCAATGCTCTTGTGCAGGGCATCATCAACGCCTGCACGCGAAGTAAGCAATGACAAACCAAATGACGACTCCTGCGTCACAACATCCAGCTGCAAACGGATTTCCCCGGCAGTGATCGTCTGAAATCCATACCTACTCCAACAGTGGGCCTGGTGAGGAAAAAAGAGCTATTAAGGGAAGGATAAAATTCGGCCACATTCTTCTTCAACAAAAAACCTTTCTTGAATTTCTCAAAATTCAGATTTACTCCAAGTGAAAGTTGAACCAGGACTTACTTAATGCCTAGCCATATTTTCGGGAAAACACGATAGGAAGGTTATATTTTTAGTTTGTGCTTCTCAGCAGTTTCTCTCGTACTTTTAATACGTTTGAACCACGATATTCACATTTCGATCATCGCAAATAGCCTGAAATGAAGCATAAAGACTAGACGATTTATGATACAGTGTTCACGAAGAAAGCAGTGAACTTCAGATTCAGGTTTAGAAATTCCCACCAATACTTCAAAATGTTTTCTCGAAGAAAAAATTGAGCGATCTTCAGAAAACTTACTCGGAATAAACAATTTTTGAAACCCTTGAAAAGCTGGAGAAGTTGGAGAAAATATTGAGGATTAATTTAATTCGGAGAATCCTCATTAAAATTGGAAGTGGGTGAGCATTTGAAATATTTTGCTGAAGTCTTTCATGCGCTCATACTCGATTAAGATTATAGGAGTTTCAATTTGACTGTCATTTTTACTTTATTGACTAAGCTGAAAACATTTTCTGAGATGAAGAATAATTTGTCACGAGAATATTTCGTCGGCCTCTGAAGACAAATTCTTCGTGACTCACAAAGCTATGAACGCCTAATAGGTAATGTAAGGCGAAATTTTTCACGTTTAACCAACTTTTTTTTTATTCGAAGACGAGGTGACGCCCTAAATTTTTTTTTACCAACGATAAACAAGTAAATAATTAATGATCGTATCCATGAGTAATTTACCTTCGAACCGTTCAAAGAAGGATCAACAATCGCCCGAACGTCGGCGAATGGAGTAGACGCAGCAAGGAAGAATCTCCGCATTTCCGCTTGAAAAGTTGGGAACAGAACTCGCCAAGTTTTTACTGTAACATCATATCTTCCTGGCGTCAACGGAACTGCTATCCAACCATAACCTTCAGTTCTTTGGCAACCCCACCAGTCCAAACTCATAACTTGAAAAAATAATCGCGGAGCTCGGCACTCGTAAGAGGAATTGAATGACAAGTCCGCAGATATCGGCAAGCAAAACTGAGCTTTCCCTCTCGAACTGACGGAACTCCACTGAGTTGCACCGTAAACGATTTCCTCGTTGGATTTCCAGCCTGAAACAGAAAAAATGAATAAAGGTAGCGACACAAAAATTTCCAAAATATACTGATCGAGAATGTGAAGTACCTTCTGGAGCGTTCAGTAAGTAGCGGACAGAAATCCAACGTGCGTTGAATTTACATGCGTCGAGAATCAGTCCATGGAAATGAAATCGACAATGATCAGGATTCAGTGGCTTTTCAAATTCTTCCCCGGTGATACTGGAAATTCCTTCATGATGATGGCGACAAACCTTACGAAAAAAAACAAAAATAAGAACAAATGTAATATGTAAACTTTTCGCGCGTCAAATGATTCGCTTCCATTGGCAGTAGAGTTTTTCCAAAAGAGATCGTCAGCACACATGTCCCACGTACCACATTGTTATCTTACCCAAAATCATCATCATCCCAACGAAATACAGTATTCGCAAATAAAATATGAAATCATCTGCTTAGCATCAGACATAGATTGTATTTATGTGAAAAAATGAAATTTTTCAGATAACTCGAACATTAGATGATTAAAACTTTTGCGCTTCTTCGGTCGGATTTCGTTACTGGGACATCGTAAAGTAATTGTCTTAAAATTTTCTAAAAAAATAACTTGTTTTGAGATTTTTCAACAAACATTTTTTCCGATTCGAGGGGCTCATACATTAAAGCATCGTTTTTTTTTCTCATATAATTACACGATCATCACGTATGAAAATAAATTCGACGTTCCCTTCGCGATCAGAAGCAAGGGTTCTACGATAATTTGGTAATACTGTGTTAAGCATTAAAAATAAATGGATGAGCGCAGATTCCGACTGAATACCTCGTTAAGAAGACGAGAATCTTTCAAAATTTCCAGGGGTGACTTCAAGTGAGACTCCAGCTCAAGACAGTAATGGAACAGTTCGCCGGATGGAGATTTCACAGGGTAATATTCCCCAGAACTGGAGAAATCTGGTTTCACAGAGATCACTTTCCTTCGCGGGTCAAACGAGACGGCACAAAGAAGCACCGGTGTTACTCTTGATTCGTCCGTGTTGCGAGGAGAAAAATCCGCCATAATCAGCATCAATTCTTCCCGAGTAGACGAATCATCGCTTTCACGCGAAGATTCCGACAAACTGTGATCCTTGGAGGAAACAATGTTCGATTTCGGAATCGACCTGAATAAAAAAAAAGGATTCACTAGAGCATATAGGCAGCACTGAAATCACAAATGTTCGATCCATAAATGCGATAATGAAGAAGAAAAATGTTCCGGGTTAATAAATTTTTCTTCGTCACGGATGACAGCCCTGAATCGCTGTGGGGTTTAGTTATTTACATCTAGTAATTAAGCAGACTAGAATAAAGCGTAACTCACTTGAGCAATGGCGACGAATATTGATTTTTCCGGCGAAACGCATCACACTCAACATCCTGATCAACGTAAGTGAAGATCAACTGCGTAAAATTCGAACCCGCTTTCTCGAGCCTCTTTTGAGCAAGCGCGTAGTAAGAGCTATCTGATTTCGCAGCTTCTGGTCCAGCTTGAGATCCATAACGCAAGACTTCACCCCAACTTAAAATTTTCTCCTGCCATTTCACTCGTAAAGTATCACACTTCTGCGTCTGAATGTTCTGGAAATCGCGAGAGAAATCCAAACTTCGGCCTCCAGCTGATGCCGTACGCTTACGACGACGTTGTTTCGTGGCACTCTCTTCCGGGGATTCCACGGTTTCTGGATTAACAATAATTCCGGGGCGCCAAACCTTAATCCTGTATCAGAACGACAAGTTCGCATTAAAATGAATGAGGCATCAGCAAATCCTCGTGCACCTTACCTCACAGTGAAATGGGCGATTGGATCATGCGTGCGATAAATACCGTGGTAGGTAATCGAGCGTTCATGGATCCGGGAATCAATATTCATTGTAGAAAAGACCAATCACGGATGAAAAAAATCATCGGAACACTCAATCCGTATTCTGAGTTGAACGCGACACAGAACTCACTCCGTCACAGAACGGTAATGTGCTGCTGACGTCTTTTAAAAAAAAAAACACCGAATGCAACAATTATAACTTTTCTTCCAAATTACGGATCGTGCAAAAATTCAGCTTTCCCCCCCATCGTGTTTCCAGAGGCGACACACGCGATAAGCACCTCTCACGATTCTGATTGACTTCACAGGGATTGCTCGCTAATAGGTGTCACCAACATACCCGACTTTATTGTTTTCAATAGATGTCGCTGAAACGAGAAGCCATCACACAACAGTTCTTTCCCTGGAAAAGTACAGTTTTGTGTAGCACAGTACATTGCTGTACTTGAATCATGGTACTCAATTTTGGCTGAAACAGCAGTAGTAATGAATGTGATCGTGGATACTTGAAAAACAATATATTTAAAAAAATCAATGATACTGTCAGGGTACATCAACTTTGCAGGGCATTGGAAGCCAAAGGATATGAGATATTCATATGTAGACCATGTCACTGTCTCCAAATGGATGGATTTTTTTGCGCATACATATGCAGTACAGTGTAACTAAAGTACAGTACTGTATTTCGTAATTTCGAACGTATCATGATGTGAACTTGAATTTCAGTTCAAAATTGCACCTTGCCAAATGCAGGACAGTTCAGAATTCCTGGTTCGCATAAACAACTTGAAAACTTTCATGCTTGAACTTGGCATGTTCCAGGCTTCCAGCTGCTCTACATACACCAGCCATGCAACCCCTGCATTTCATCATGAGCAGGGTGTAGGAATGTATGTATGTAATCCTGTAGGAATGTATAAGGCCCGTACAGTCAACTCTTTAATTCACCGCTCAAATTAAGCGGATTTACATTAACCCTGTATAAATGGGAAATCCAAAATTTCCGTGATTAAATTTTATACGTACAAGCAATTTGATTCGTAGAAGTGTTCGAAAACCGGTGTCCATCTATCAAAAGCCAACTAAAATTATTAACTGGGACTAATATCCAGCAACCATAACCAATGAGCAAACAAAGTTTAACAATCCAAAAATCATCATCCCTGTATAGATCCAAATCCGTTGTGGTCATAAATATGTTGAAGAGATCTCATGTCAATTTTATTTACATTGTATGCAACTACAATATAATTCAACCCCTAGATAATAGCTGTAATTATTTGAAAATATGACTCCCTGATCACAAATATCAGTAAAATTTCTCTTCATATAAGGGTTTCCAGATAACAAAACAAGTATTTTCCTTCCATACACAGGAGGACTCTGTCTACAACAAGCTTGTGCACAGCCATTTTCTCTGTAAAGTAATAGAACTTTGGTTCTCCCCAGAAGATTCTCTTCCCATAGTATATAGGCTATATAGGGGGTCTTTGCTAAAAAAAAAACTTTCTGGTCCGTTGAATTTTAATTGTACACCAGCATTGCAAAATGTAATTCCCCTCAGGGTTACTCTCTAGGATTGAATTTGTTTACAAAACTCACCAAAATACTGCACTACAATAAGCTTTGAGAAATGTGCTGCAGCTTATTTATTTGTTTTCAGCGTGAAATTGAGAATTTCAGCATTAAATTCAATGGATCCTGAGAGGATTGGGCCCACCTTTTGAATTTCACAAATGTGGTACACAAAAAGAGGCAAACATATTAGTCTTTTCTGATTTTCAATTTTTTTTCAAGTTCCTTAGTTTTAGCTCAAAAAGTGCTGAAATTTGTGCACCATTTGGCTAAAAATGTATGATATACGGGTCACTATAACCCCACCACAAATTCGTAATCATGCGATATTTTTGTTTCACTGATCTTTCAAAAAAAAGGGATCTGCTAACAATTATAGAAAATTATCTAAATTTATGGAGAAGTTTCTTGAAAATTCAACACAATCTCACCGCATTAAATTTAATTTTTGTACTCCTCATCATATGTATACTTGTTATGATTCAGTCACAAGCTCAAATAGTGTATGCCTAAAGCTCAGATCAGATCAACAACAATCAAACCCAATGCTTAACATGATACGACTAACTCAATCGAATTTCAGACAACTTTTAATACGCCTTGATCAGAGGCAATAAAGGTAGACTATCTCTACGACAAAATTCAACGGACCAGAAAAAAATCGCTCGTAAAAATAATTTCGTTGTAGGGGAGTCCTATAACATGGGGAGAGAACATTACAGGACAACAAAATAAATTCATTATACAGAGAAAACTGTTATAGAGAGTCCACCTGTATAACACCCTTAACCTGGGAATGTAAGGGTCATGAAGAGATATACAAGACGCACAGTGGATTTTTGAGCCAATGTTTGCGGGGAAAAGTGCGTCTTACATTCAAGCATGCACACGTTACTTGGACTCTCTCAACAACAACAAATTCAAGGGACCAGAAAAAATTCGTCATACAGAGAATTTCGTTGTAGAGAACCTCTAAATGTGAGGAGAGAACCCTAAATCATCATACGGAGGAAATTCTCGCAGAGAGAGTCCACCTGTATACAGTCAATGCTGCACTCGACCTGCGAATCCAAGACGTCATGAACAGGTTATATACGAGACGCACCCTGAATTTGTTGAGCCAATATTTGCGGAATAAAAAGTTTGTCTTACGTTCAAGTGCACGCGTTACCTAAAACATTAGTTCCCATCAGAAGAAAAGAAAAAAGCAGGCAAAAGAACTGGAGACGAGCAGAGTCGGATAACCATGAACATCGTGTTCTCAACATACCGGAGAGACAACGACGCGGTGCTCGCGACTGGAATGTCTCGACCTCGTTTGTTTCTTCCGCCCGTCCTTAGCCCCCCCAACCACCCCCCAAAACACAATTCCGGTCTCACACGCTGACCCCCGGAACTCTCGGGGGGTAGAAAACCCAGACGCGGTGTTCTTTCCCCTCACCAACTCGCACCATCCCGGCAAAATGATCGCCAAGACACCGACTAGGGACACGTTATCTCGACCCCCCCCCCCCCCCAAAAAAATCAACTTAAATAAATAAATAAATAAATAAAAACCTGCGAGGGACAACACGTCACAGGGAAAGGAGAAAATAAAAACGGCAAGCTAAACATCCTACGAGTCCGAACCCTCTCGGAAATCACATGAACAGGGTCATGCGCGGGACAACCGAAAAAATTTCGATCATGATTATTATAAATCGTCAATCACCGGAAGAATTTCCCCAGCACACGTGACATCACTACCGAGAACGCAAAAAAAATTCATGTCACATTTGAGCGCGTCTCAAACGGCCAAAAATGAGTAAGTGAAAAATTTTTCTTCCAAGAAACCAGCACCCGAAAACAAGAAACATTAGGAGACCGAAAGGTTTCGAAAATTGCATCCAATCACACCATTTAAATCCCCCCCCCAAAAAAAAAACACAAAAAGACAATCTACTTACGATCAGATGCTCTCAATCGGGTTAATCGAACAAAAATCATTTGATCAGAAACGCTTTACAGTGACTAGCCCAATATGTGGCACTGAAAGACCGTTCTGAAAGAATGAAATCTACACTGAAATCTACACTTCGCTGTTCTGAGACGCGCTCAATTGTCCAATCACGCGAAATTATGCACTAAAAAAAAGAATCCATTAGCAGCGCGCAAAATCAGTTCACCAAGCCTCACAAAATAACCCCTCGGTTGCCCCGCGCAAAACAGAAAAAATTAAAATGGCGCGGCTCTTGCCGGAAATATGCGAAAACCTTTTTGAAAGATTCAAGTAAACTTCCACTAAGATCCTCCCGCGTTTAAGCGGGGCCTTCCTTCCTCAAAAACGATATTCCTGACAACGAGACTGACTCCTTCGTTGCCAATGTATGAAGAGCGATCGTTCACCCGATCCTTCCCGTAAAAATGCCCCGGAAAAAAAAGAATTCGACAGAGGCTGAAAGCATGTGACGCAGTTCGGAAGACCAGCGACTGCAGATGTCGGGGTTTCTGTCAAATTTACCCTATTTTTAAACAATGAAACACCATGTTCACAGAAATATAGGCCGCATACGTTGCATTAAACTGGTTTCGGAAGTTAGCATGAGGCGTAATTTGAGATACAGCACCACTGCATTCGGAATACTGTATGTTCTTAAACATTTTCGCCTCAGATGATCAATTAAGTACGCGGCCGATATTTGAATAAATACGGTAATCATAATGGCTTCGAAGTTTTAACAAAACTACAGAATGTGGTATGTTGAACCTTGATAATCCCTGCATTCGTGCATAGTGAATACAATCCTCAACGCGGCTGAAAAACATGCAATCGTAATGCGTTAAAACTGAAACTACTACATTTCGGGCAGTTCAATTAAAAAATACGGAAGTTAAAATATCGGGATCAACAAAATTACCAGTTTTCAAAAGATTGAAAAGGAAGATGAGGTTTAAAATTTTGAAGTTGTCCTCGATTTTCTCATGAAACGTAAAAATGAGACAACCGAACAGCTTTCACGGAATTTTTCACGTCAAGTCAGGAAAATTAATTGCACTTGAATATTTGAAAGAGCGTGGTTGAACTAATCCATGACATCGCTAAATAATTTTGGGTCGTCTTCGTGGGAACTAGTAAATTTTGGACAGGTTAATCGAAAAATATCGGGATCAACAAAATCCCCTGTTTCTAAAACGAAGAAGAGGTTTTAAGTTTTGAAGGTATACTCGATTTCTCTCATGCTTCGCAGGTAAATGAAACCGAAATGTAAAAATGCGGCGACGAAATAAATTTCATAGACTTTTTCACGTCAAGCCAGGGAAATTAATTGCACTTGATAACTGAGAGAACGTCGATGAACTAGCCAAGACATCGCTGAATAATTGTAGGTTTTCTCTGTGATCACTTGGAAGAAAGCATCCGGTCATCAGCCTGGATATTGAAGGTCCTACCACAGTTTTATATTCTCAGGCAAAACGCATGAAGTATTCAAAATCGTGAAATAATCCCTGTGGGAACTGAACAGAACATACCTTTTCTGTATGTGGCTTTTTAGTTTTTTTTTGACTCGCTCTGATACGTGCCTTGAGCAGTAAAATGATGCTAGAAATGACTCGAAATGAGGAGAAAAAAGTAACTTCGAATAATACTGCGTATCACGAAACAAAACACGGATGCTGAAGCAGTGATATGTTGTCGATCGTGTTCCTATTTTATCCCCCGTTCCGAGTAATGAAACGCAAAAAGATGCACCAGAGACTGAACCCCGTCATCCGGACTCAATCGGCAAGTCACGGCTTCGTTCCATAAAAGTCTGCGTGAGAGGCGAAATAACCCTACCCTAGTCTTCCTTAACCCACTCCGCAACTCGACGGAACCAATTCATGCACGGCCAGGAATTTTGTTTTCAACCGAACACCGGGACGCCGCAGAAAACCAAATAGAAACCGACTTCATATCACGAGGAACGATACAAAAAAAAAACTTGACGAATCATGAAATCCAATTGGGCACCTCCGCGAAGAACTATGAGGCGTTGGGCGTACTTCGCGGAGGGGAAAATTCCGGGGAATAATCCAATCAGGAAACCGGCTCAATCATCCGCCTTCATCCCTCGCACTTCCCCTTTATGGCGTTGCTGAAAAAAAAAGAAAATACAGAATATATTAATTTAGGGACTAGTTTCGAAAATATCTTGAAACAAAAGCTCAGAACATACGATCAACCTCGATAACTCGACCTTCTTCAAGTCAAATGCCAATTTTTCCAAGTATCTCCGAGTCCCTTAGAAACAATGCATTGAAAACGTCCCTATTTCAAAGATTTTCCTTCAAACCTCCATAACTCGAATTTTCTGGAGGCCTTTTGGCAATTATTTTATCAGCACAAGAAAGAGAAAAATAAAATAGAAATTCACTTGATGCACTTAGAAAATAAGTGAAGGACTAATTGGGAATATGAACCCTTGCCTCAAGGTTCAACATCCTGTCAACTCATTTAGGAAGCAATTTAAGGCCCAGAATATCACCTATCACAGTTTCCTGTAATCATTTTCTATTTCCCTACCAAAATTGCTCGTTTCCCACAAAACCTGAGTTTTTTTTGCAGGCGCCATGGAATTCGACTCGGAGAGGTTTGACTATTTCAAAACAACATAAGTTAAAGCTGCCCAGAAAATGCTTCCGCGACCAATTAACGGCCATCTGTCAACCCACGTCTTAGGTATAGCAAAAAAAAATATATATATAGAAAAGCAAAAAAAAATCGATTGTTACCTAGGCGAACACCAGAAAAGTTGGCAGCGAATTTTCCGGTAAATCGTGACATTAAACTCTCAACACCATTTCTATATTTTTCTCCACATACTTCATAGGTTCTATCACGTTAATCAAGCATTTGTCAGGGATTAAGATTAGGTAGAATTTCTTTCAGAGGTGATTTATGATCAAAATCAATGAAGTACCTCTTTGACCTGTATCTCTAATCAACAAATAGTATACGCAACAACACGAAGAAAATCCGCACCTCATCCAATTCCTTCTTCGTTTCGTCTTCTATGCGCCGGATGTCATCCATTGTCAGCCCATGCCATTTATCCAGCCAACAGAACACCTGAAATGAAATTGCAAACATTATGAAAAGCATGAAAAATTAAATCAGGCATTTTTTTCATGAAAATACCTGGCGATGGAAGTTGGTGAACAGACGACGCTCGGACTTCTGGATGAAGTTTTCGGCTCGGGTTTGCACTCCGAACCACTTGAACTCACAGGTGACCAGCTTGTAACAAGTCATCACAGGGTCTACCTGGAATACAAAAAGTTTTCATTAGCTCTACTTCCGGAAAACGAAAGATTAGTCACCATCGTCTGTTCAGATTTTCAAAATGCAAAAAACTACTACTACTGTACTACAGTACCGCCAAATTTTCATGAATAATCGTTGGAATGGAGGATACAGCAAAATGAAGCGCTTAATAACGTTTGAATAAATGAATCCACTGCCGAAACGGAATTCTGCAAATCGTCGTTATTTTAAGAATCAAGGAAGGACAGTCTCCCAGAATAATTAAAATCGACCAACGCGCCTGTGGAGAATATTTCAGATATTCACACGAAACTAGGTCTGGCATTATCTCAATAAGTTCCTGTCACCCCAAATAATTGCTTGCCATTTCAGGGTACATTAGGATACATTGACTAGGACGGTCTGAAAAAAAAAAATTCGTGAAGTAATATTTTCCGAGAAGATGAAAAGATTTTGATTTTGCGTTATTTTTACGGACAACAAATCCATGTCCAGAAGATAGCAATGAATTCTAGATGGTGTACTGAAATCTTACCTTTAACATAATACAGTATCAAGTTCCCGCGTACACTGGTCAATTCTGAATACGAAGAGAGACATTTTAGGCTCGAAATATTAGTTGCTGACAACATATTAAATGCTTTTTGTTCAGGGAAAACGTGGAGAAATCGATTTAAAAAAATCGGTGTCCGAAAATCAAGTCTTCCAGAGAAAATAATTTCAGTTGTGTATCTTTCAATGTGACAAAATAAAAGAGTATTTTTCAAGACAAGCACGCTAACAAGCGAACGCAAAGCTGAAAAAAGGTCTCGAAAAGAATTTTGATCACAAAATCAAATTTTATCCCATCCCGTTTCTTTTTCTTCTGCCAAAAAAAAAAACCACTGCAACAAACCTTGTTTATCCATTCGCCAGTAAGCGGACCCCGACCAGTTTTCTTGGATTTGAACTTGGTTGGGTCCTGGTCGGGTTTAAAGTCACTCGATTGAACCGGATCGTTCGCAATGTCAATCCGAACAACTTCCCGCTGTTTCAATTTATCCGGGGTCAATCGGTGGGCCTACGAAATAAATTATAAATTTTAAAATTATAGTCAATACTATAACACCCTGCATTGCAACTTTTGATAAATTCAGTATGCTGATGAAAATTCCCCGCGGGCCAGAAAAAAGCTTCTGCAGACCGGCGCCAGTTACGAAAAGCACGGGTTGGGGAACACTGAGTTAGATAGATGGTGTCAGAATAGTTCGACAGAAGTTACAGATACATTTGCACCAGACAAGATGAGGAGTTATAAATTGAATAATTTCTTGGAACGGCTCGCTTGGTTTTGCAAAAGGTTGGGTGAATAACATGCTACATTAGGTACGTGTCGGGTAAGTTGTGGGCTATAATATTAAATTTCAATTCGAAGAAGTCTTATTAAAGAATCAGATTTTCTTTCTTCCTCAGAACGTTACAGCAGCGATACCTATTATCGCGTCCTACCTTCGGTGCCTCAAGAGAAAGACACGCTATTTACTCAAGTAAGAAGCGCACCCGAGTTTTTCAGTAATTTTTTATTTTATTTAAAATTGTCTCTCCGAGTAAGAGGAGATCAAATTATCAGTGTCTCTAAATTCGAATTTTTGATGTTCTAAGTTTTTGAAATATCGCAGTTTTTGAGTCACTGATAATTTGATCTCCTCTTACTAGGGGATACAATTTTATCAAATTATTACTTGGATTCAGGATCAAACCGTATCTAAATCCCAAATTTGGATGTTTCAAGTTTTTGAAATATCAGTTTTGGATTGATCCTGAATCCAACTAATCTTCAATTATTTCCATTGCAGGAAGTTTTGCAGTTAAAATTTGTCCAAAATTTCCCATTAGAATATATTACAATGCGAACACCTAAATTTCTAAAACTTTTAAAAAATGTACACCCGCAATGAGGCGCATCCTCGTAATTTCGCCACAAAAAAAGGTGCGCGTGGTGCTCGAGTAAATGCATAGTAAATTTGAAAGCCATCATGGAGACAAATCTGTATTTTCACCTTGGCTCGAAGAAGGAAATAACATTGTAAGAAGAAAAAAAGCGCAGCTAGGAGCAAACTCACGTTCTCGGTAGTTCCACTATCTCCTAAATGTAATGTTTCGATGATGATCACGAAGTTCTCCTTCATGTACCCGGGATTCTAGCAACGGAAACAAGCCGAAAGCGGATTAACGAACGAAAGGAAGAGCGGAAAGTCTCACATTCGTATTATTCGGCAAGCCACTCTCAGCCTTGGTGCGAATCTCAATGAAACATTTGTCCGCCGTCATGAACCCTGGAGCCTAGGCCAGTCGGGGTAACAACATCGACTCAGATATTTTAATCGACTTTTTCGAACCCAAGCCCTCGGGATTCCATCAAATCTTTTTTTTTTTTTTCAAGTTCAACGGATTTTGCGACTGATCACCTTAGCTCTAATTCATTAATTCAATCCTGATCAAAATTGACTCACTAAAAAAGAGATCCCAGAACGAAAAAGAAAACATAATCGGGACGCTGCAGATAGCAGATTTTTTCAAATATTCAAACCATTTTCTTGGATAATTCTTCAACGTAACTAGCCTCCTGAAAGTATAGAAACATTTCTTCTGCAGTGTATATCATGAAATAATAGAAAATAAGTGAAGGCGAACACATAAAAAAAATCAACTCTTCAAGAAAGGCTCATTTTATTCTCATTATTGTAAAAGCGTGGGACCAAACAATAAAAAAACATTTGCAGGGCCAAAGGCATTTACGTAAAAAATTGAACTTACGTTTTCAAAATCTTCTATTATAAATGCAAATTTTTTCCTACATTCAAAAAATGAAATTGCATTTCGCATTCACTTTAAATTTCCCGAAAATCTCTGATACTGAGGGCAAAAAAATTAAGATTCATGGCAAAGCACGAAATCCTAAAAATTCCAACTAATCAATGCTTCGATAAAACCAGAAAATCTGGATGCAAAGGAAAATCACGAACCAATTACTTTTTTCTTTACCTTCGGTGTAATAAAGATCTGTTTATCCGTTCGAAAAAAAACGAGCGAAGTGAAAAAACTGAATCCGGAAACCTCATAAAGAAAAAAAGTGGTAAAAAAGATAACCTGTGCGGAGTACTCACAGTAATAACGGTTTTACAATACGGATAGGCATTCCACGCTTCTTCGTGGATCTCGAGAGATCCTTTCGGAGCAAGGAATCGAAGAAACGCGGGCACTTTGCTACACAGAAAAAAAAAAAAAAAAGGCGAACAATGTCGGTCATGAAATAAGCCTGCGGGGGGCGATATGAATCGAAATATCCAATTTACCTTGCAAGGTGATAAACCTTGTATGTGTACTGGCCAGAGGAATATTCCCCTCCGAGCAGAGGATAATTTTCAAACGGTTCGTTTTTCCGCACTTCGATTCCTTCCCCGCCTCCGGTTTCATTCTTACTCGCCTCGGCGACGGAATAAAGCTGTCCTACTTGGTACTGCAAACATCAAGAAAATATTGTGAATAAAAAAAAAAACGTTGAAATTGCATGTTCATTCGACGTCATATCGTTTCCCGTGACTCACCTCATCCACAGTTAACGGCAAAACCACACGGCTGAAAAAAATGAAAAAGAACACGATTTTCAACACGAATAGAAAAATGAAAATGGAATCCCATTTTCTTTCGAATTACGTTTCCAAAATTCAAATCTAAGATATTGAAGAAAATCCGAATACAGTAATTACTGTATTAGGAACAATAATCCCATACATTTTAGCCAGGAATACATTTCGTCATCCCATTCTTACGGACGCAAACGGGGTTTCTGCTTCATTTTCTAATCACAAGAAGTTCACACCAAACCTTCATGACATAAGTATTAGCACAAGTTAAAATTCTCACGATGCCGGAGAAAACCTGCATCCAGGCAGATTTGCAATCTGACAAGTCAAATCCAAAACGCAACAGGAAGCTTAGATGGATCAATAGGGAACTTTTCCCGAGTGAACCCTTTTCTCACACGACTTGACTGATAAAAATGCAAAACTTACGACGCAAAGAAGAAAACGATTTCTACCTGCTCCACCCAAATAAAAAACCTCGAGGCAAAACAAGATGAAGTGGCGATTCGTACAAAAGAATACAATTTTCGTAATTAAAAAAAAATCTGCAGACGGAAGAGCATCGAAACTCCTGGAAAAGTTGCAGAGGTTTCAATAAAAAATGGAATCATTTTAAAAATTCCCTGAAAAGATTGCAAACACCTGTAGAAGTGCCCATAAATGAAGAAGCCAGAAAACTACTGGTAGTGAAATTAAAATCCTACTCCGCCTGCCAATAACATCTAGCTTTAGTACAACAATCCAACATTCTAATGGACACTGCATGAAAGTTCTTCTCATTAATCACCAATTTATCTTTTCACAGCAACTTTTTGGCACACTTTATTAGAACAATATTAGAAATACTGTACAGTATATCGTAAATTTATATGATGACACAATTTTTTTCAACACAGGACAGCATCATGCCAAATACAGTTGGGCCCTGACATACAGAGAATTTGACTCAGGGATACTTCAAACTCAAAAAATGCGTCCCAACACCTGGTCAATGTCTCAAGATATGGACACTGCCAAAATTTCTAGAATGATATAAAATTTTTCTTTTTTCAAAATGTAGATGCCTCTTGAACAAATCGAGATATTTACATACTGTACACAAAAATGTGAATATACTTTAATTCACAATAAAAAAAAATAGGCTAATTTTGTGTTTCTTTTCTCAGAATATTTCTCCATCTTTGTGCACCATATAAAAAGATTTTTATAATGCAGAAAGATCAGATTAAGAGTGGTTTTCTTCTGCACAATTATTTCCCGTATCTTATAAAAATTGAGGGGAACCATTATTTTCAAATTTTTGGGGGAATTATCCCTAATTTTGGTTAATCAGGAGTAACAATTAATTATGTTCCAATTGTGTATGGGAAAAAGTTATCCCGTGATTCGCACGTTCCCTCTTAGGGACAAGGTACAAGCGCCCATTACGTCCGCATCTCGAGGCCCCATTATAGTAAACTATTCAGAGACGCACAAAAAAAGTACTCACAACTCTTTTATCTGCATACTGAGGTAGTACTGAGAGGCGCTGGAGGACAAGCGAGATCCGATCCGGCAAAAGCACTCCACAGATGCTTAAAAGGACAGCCTCCGAAAGACACGAAGTGCGAAAAGACAATGAAAAATGTTTCTGAAATAACAAAAACGTTTCAGGCATTTCAAAAATTATGCAGCATCAGGCAATTGGAAGGAATTTCGGGAAGATAAGATATCACTCTGTCTCACGTGCTCATTCACAAATAGCAATCATCGACAAGGGTCTTTTTAAACGCTGGATACGAAACCCATCATACGTTGACAACACAATTAGAAAAAGCACTGAAATTTGACACACACAAAATCACTTCGTGATCGCACGACGAACAACAATTTCGGGAGGTGACTTGAACGGAATTCCGTGAAAATCTCTGCTCTTCAAATCCTTCCACTTTGACAAATACGAAACGCTCTTCAACTTTTCAATCAAGTATTCGTAAGCAGTTTCTTGATCAGTCTCGGGCAAGATATCATTACAGAATTTCGAGAATATCTTCAAACGAGATATGCAAACTGCTGCTCGTTCTGTTCCAAGAATCTTCTTCGTGGCGCCGAGTTTGAATCCATCAACAACAACATCTGGAAAGTCCTTGCCAAGATACCAAATCACACTGCACGGGGCCGGATCACCAACCCGATTTCGAAAAACTTCATGCCCTCCAACACAATAAATTTCCAAGGCTTGAATCGGCGGAGTATGAAACCTAGAGATGAAATTCGCGCAAGTAATATAACAAGAAGCATCAATTAAAGTACTGTTTGCACAGAAATTCGATCGCACATTTTCGGGTAGGCCTAAGATAACATGAAACCGCTATTTTTTTCCAGTCGCATTCCATTCAAGATGATAAAGCATCAGCATCTTAAACAGCATCAGTATGCACCATATTTTTCCAGTTGCATAATGAATATAATCACTATAAAAATTATAATTCATCGGAGAAAGCTTCAATTGTGAATTATCGTTGTTTCCACTCATTTTTTCAAAACAATTTTAGTCACATTCGATTTCCTTCGGTCGACTTGATTTTATTTCTGAATTACGAGAATAGTCGAACTCTGGAGTAGGAAATGCTTTCATTCCAGCAAGAAAAAACCTGATGCGCGTTTCACGCGGTGAAAACGGCTCCATGAGAAAATCCCGCAGTTTCAAAAAACTCCCGTGGTACTAAAATCCCGCGTGAACGAATACCCCGTAACTCAAGTTCAAGCATAAGAAAATAATTTTTCATAACTACAATAAGCAATGGTGTGTACGCGATCACCACCGCCACAGTCAAAACATTTTTCTTCGCCCGAAGTAACCGAAAGTTCTGTAGGCATTCATACAGGTCTCCGGAACTTTTGGAGGCTTATACAAACAGTGGATAATAATTTAATCTTGAAACAACTGTTTCTCGTTCCAGTCTTGGGTATTATTTATGAATTAGCAACCTAGAGTTCTTGTATTGCATTCAAAACGCAAGGTAATAAAAAATATTTTTGGAGTTCAAACACATTGATACAGTACATGCTTCTCACTTCAAAAGGATAAGTTGATCTGTGATTATCAGTGATAATGTACAAGGTTTATATTCAAAGCAAATACAAGGATTATAGCTCCACATGACGGTTACTGATTTCATAAAATTCCTCCCCTCGATTCTCTGTAGAAAGTTAATCCTAATCTGTCAATGAAGTTGGGGGAAAACCCGAAGACACACTTTCACAATTTCGTAATCCACGGGATTTTTGCACCCCACGAGGGGGTACGGAAGATCGGGCCCAAGTATTTTCGGGCCCGATTAGGCTGCGTCTTAATCCCCATTGTATTCCCGCCGGCGGGTCAACAGGTAAGCTGTGACGGAACAGCTTACGCCTTTTGTCATTTGGCAAAATTTGTGATTGCTTTCCATGCATTTTGGAATAAGAGAGAAATTTAAAACTCCCGAATTTTTTAAAATTGTTTTTCCTCTAAAAAGCATGAAGAGAATGATACCAAATAACCTAGTTTCAAGAATATTTTTATTTTTAAAAAATAAGACAAAGAATTGGAACTTCAATAAGTAAAAAATAAATCAATTGGTTTTCAATTCATGAAAACCATGTACGCTTTTTCCAAAGAAAACACAGCCTGCTCATTTCACACAAAATTCTGACTTGATAAGATTGTAGCACTAGAATAGAATTTCCTCAACTAGTTAACCCTAAGGTTCCTGCTAGTTAACCCTAAGACACATCTGATTTTTCCACATGAAACAAGTCCTAAAAACCAGGAAAAATTCCAAGGTGAAATTTTTTACATTACGTAATTCCCAGTAAAAAATACCGAAGCAAATATCTCACTCAATTTTCCAATTAAAAATTTGTGCAACATTTCAAAATTTAGATTGCGAAGTTGTCTACAAAATGTGTTTCATATAAAATGTTGCTCCGCCTCTTACATTCCAAGATATTTGCAATTCCGCAAAATAACTTTTTTGTCAAAGTGCTTCGCTGATAAAATCAGCAAGCATTCTTTTCATGATAAAAATTGTCCGCTTTGGGGCATTCAATAAATAAAATGCAAAATTTCTAAAATGCCCAATCAATGCTAAGGCCAGAGTCCTAGCAGCAATTTTTTTGTTTTTTGAAGTTCCAATTCTTTGTCTTATTTTTTAAAAATAAAAATAATCTTGAAACTAGGTTATTTGGTATCATTCTCTTCATGCTTTTTAGAGGAAAACCAATTTTTAAAAATTGGAGAGTTTTAAATTTCTCTCTCATTCCAAAATGCATGGAAAGCAGTCACAAATTCTGCCAGATAAAAAAAGGCTTAAGCCATTCTGTCACAGCTTACCTGTTGACCCGCCGGCGGGAATACAATGGGGATTAAGACGCAGCCTAATCGGGCCCGAAAATACTTGGGCCCGATCTTCCGACTACCCCCACGAGATTTTTAGACTAACGGGATTACCTACACAACGGGATTTTCTCCTGCACCCATAAAAACACCAACCTATGCAACAAAGATCTCTTCAGAGCCTTCGCAGTTGCTTCAGAGTCCTTCTCATCCACGAGTAGCACGAACGACGAGAAAGTGATAGGCTTCTCTAAGTACCGCGACAAAAGAGCGCCTTGGAGGCCGACGCGGAGCCACTTGGCCATTTTGTCACTGCAGCTCAGGGACGCCGTAGGTTCTCCACGACCAGGTTTCGTTCTCAACGGCCCAGTCACGTGGTAATCCACACCGCTGCTCTTCGGGTCTTGCAAACCAGCTGGGATGCATTTGGCACCCGTCCTGTAAACATCAGGGCCTTCGGTATAATCATCTCGGGAACGATTCTCTGACGCTTTCGATTCCATGCCGCAACGAAGATCACGTTTCATTCTCTTGGCGGGAATGTCCCATTCGGAGGTTTCACGCTTTTCGGACACTCCTGTCATGGATTTCTCGTCTCCTCCGGAATTTTTGTGGATGATGGCTGCATCGCCACACGGCGAACAAGTCGAAAAGAACACGTACTCAATGTTGGATTTGAGGGAGAAGGATCCATCTTCGCCATCACGTTCAAATACTGATTCACCACGCGGCATTTTCATTTGATCCATCAAATATAAAATGAAGGCACGTCGAGTTACCACTTCCGCGTGACTGTCCGACACAGAGGTACCATTGAGGACCACCTGCGATAAACCGAGGCACTTCGTACCAGTGCCGAGAGCTACGACGCGGTTTCTCGGAAGTTCATGATCTATCTCAACGATCGCGCTCAAAACAGTCCACTGATCTTTAGTTGGTTTGCCTTTTTTCGGTAATTTTGAGTATAAGTCACAGCACAAACGCGCGATAACTGCAGGATCCATTTTTATCACCATCAGATAACCGTAGTTCTCGAGATAATCACTAATTCCGAGTTTAAGCCACACCAGTGGGATCCCACGCAAAGTGTTTCTCCTTATCAAGCTCCTTGAGTTCATTCATTTCTCCTGACGTGAGTGAGAAGTCCAACTTGATATTGCTTTTTATATGCTTTGTATTCGTCGATTTTGGGATCACACCTGAAACGAGAGAAATTGACGAGGAAGAGTGTAATCAAGTGGGGAACTTGTGCCTCAAAATTATATTCTTGCCAGTAAGAGCGGTGATCTGCTGAATAAACGCTGCTAGAAAACTGCAATTAGATGACATACTGCAGTTTCAGTTGATGACATTACTAGGTACAGGCTCAACTTCAGAAGGTGTCAACTTAAAAGAGGCACTGAGAGGCATTAAGGTGGGTTTGTCATATAGTTACAGTATCGGGTAACGATCCGTAATTTACGTAATTTAGAGCTGAAGTCGGGGGCTAACGTAAATCAGATCGCCACTCCGTAGTGAGTAATAAAAATTAACACTAGGGGAAAAGTACAGCTGATTGTTGAGTACGAATGGGCGAGTTACGCATAATAAGCACAAAAATCCGATCATACCAATGCCTTCTTGATAGGAGAATTGAAGCAGAATCTGCGCCGGAGTTTTGCCTCTCAAATTCGCGATCCGCAAAACCACTGGGTCATTGAGCAACTCGTTATGCTTCGCACTCGTTCCTAGCGACGAGTAAGCTTGGAAATGTATTCCGCGACCCGCACAGTGATGCAACAACGCAGATTGTACAAGATAAGGGTGATATTCAACCTGCGACACCGGAATAAAACTATCATTAAAGACTTGAGCATTCACTACGGGACTGCGGTCTACCTGAAGAACTTGGGGAACGACTGTGGAATAACTTTCCATTTCTTTGAGATGCTTCACGGTGTAATTCGACACTCCAATCGCTCGAATGCGGCCCTCAGCTTGTAAATCGCTCAATATTTTCCAACTTTCTTCCCGAAGCGTTTTGTTTTTCTTGTCGTCAGTTTTTAATCCACTTGCTCCGGGCCAATGAATCAAGTACAGATCGAGGTAGTCTAGCCGTAAGTCGCTCAGAGTCATCATAAAAGCGTCACGTGCCGAGGATGCATGATACAATGGATCTAACAAAAAACACCGATTTCATACACAAAGCGAAGGCTACATAGCACCATTTATGAACGTACTCAGCTTGCTCGTGATAAAGATATCCTTTCTCTCTAACCCATGTTTGTCCAGTAGCCGCCCTAGACACGCTCCAATATCAGCCTCATTTTTATAAACGCCAGCGGTATCTATAAAAAAAATGCGAAAAGCAGAAATTCGGAATATGAACTCTCATTCATCATACCAATGCTACTCTCACCTATCGAACGATATCCCGCGGCAAACGCGGCATCAAGGCACTTCTCGATCAGCTTGGCGCCTTTGATTTTGTACGTCCCAACTGCAAGGTTCAAGAGCGAACACGGAAGGAAAACACAGCTAAAGTTTGTGAAAAGGCTGGAAATGTTGACCGCGTTACTCACAAGAAACGAGCGGCATTTCAACGCCATTATTCAGCATGACATTTGCTTGCGACGCCTGACTCATTTTCGCGCGTGTATTGGGGTTAACCTATTTTAACAGGAGTAAATGGCTTACATTAATTATAAGTTACATCGTTTCAAGCGAAAAGCTCTGGGAAGATAGAAGGCCTACACAATTCCTCCGCAACCTCGACACGACCGTTCGAAATACTGCATTTCACGCCCATCACCAACACGTTCACATTTTGCTCCTAAATTTCAGAAACTGACTCTTCACACCTCGTCTTCGATCTGCTCGTGGCACTTCCACTGAATGTGTTTAAGTGGGCGAGTAGAACAAAATAGAGAAGGCCAAGGCTACGACCTTTTTACTATATGCTGATTTTGCATAGAAGATGTCACCTTAATATATTTACGCGTACCCTATACTTGCAGCATTAGAAGCACAGGATCGTATTACGAATGCGAGAACTGAATTTCTGAAGAAAGAAAAAAAACTATGGTAACCGCTCAGTACTGTACTGTCCTTACACAGTACTGTACAACACATGAGCCGCATAATGGATTTTCGGTTTTTTTAGCGTTTATTTCCGACGAGTACAAGAGAAGAATTAAATTTTTTCTACATTCATTATTGTTTAAAGGTGCTGGGGAACGAATGAGCACATGCTGGATATATATTAGTGGTGCATAAGCTCAGAAGTACGTTGGAACTGTTACAAAAGGTCAGTATGGTTTCAAAGTAAGGCACTCGCTTTACAAACGGATAAAATGCAGTATCTTATTAATTGTTTTAGATTTGGTAAAGTCATGATTCATCTAGCAAATGCTGATGAATGACGCAGTACTGGAGACTCAAGTGAAGCGATGATAAAAGCGAAATATGCATGGAACATTTCACCATAGATGCTCCATTTTGAGGAGTCAGAAACAACCAGCACACACAATATGAGACAGCATCAAGACAAACATCATTTTGGAATGAAAACCAGCATACATTATTAATATTGATCCTTTAGCTGTGCCGCGATTATGCTTTTACCCCGTAAGATAAATTACACTTAATTTGAATTCACACTTGGCTTACCTAGATGCCTGTAGAATTTCACCATCTATAATGAAGATGATGGAGGTGGATTGGCACTGGAAAATATACTTAAATTTACATTTGCCTCCATGACCATGGTGATGATTTCAAGTCTACATCATCTGAACTGCTGTTCATCAGCACAACCTCAGCTGCTGGTATATTGGTACCCATGAACATCTCTTCAAAAGGAGACACCATGCATTTTTAAAGTTTTATCACAGGATTTTCTGGAGCTCTTATAAAGAGAAATGGATTCAAACCAATGTTTAATCCAATAACTCAACTTAGCGTCTATGCAACATAGTATAAATACAGTACAGTATTTATGGCTGGCATACATACTGAAAACATAAAATGAGTGTAGGAAAGAGTTTGTGTATAGAAATCCATTGCTTGGCAAGCTGAATTATTGGTAGCTGACTCTATATGAGATCAGATAGGGTAAAAAAACAATATTTTTCTTAGCTAAAATTATTGTCCTCCTGCTGGGGGCATGCTCATCTAGCCAAGACCCATCACTGCATATAATGAACTGATAATGCATAAAAATGCACAAAAGTAGTTTATGAATTCATCAAAAGGATATGATAACATAATTCAAGTTAGTGCAAATATCCTGTGCAGATGTGTTTGCTCTGATTATATAGAAAACTCTTCAGTATACTGCTGTCAACACACAAGGCGAAAAGAAAATTTGAGAAACCCTTCCCTCACATTGAATGCTCAATATAAAGGAAGCAGTAGAATAAAACCTTTAAAAGTATTTACGCCCAATCTTAGAAACGTTTACCTCTATATATACATTGACCGCAACTATGGCAGCTTTGGGCAAGAAGAGAACCATCTTGCAATTTGAAAACAAGCAGTTCCTCACATCATTGCTTGCAGCGAAGAATAAGCCCACCGAAGATTCCCAAAGTAATTCACTGAAATCTGAGGAAAGTTCCCAGGGATCAGCGGTGCTGGAAGTCTCTGAGAATAGTGATGACAGTTCTGAATCAGATGAAGTCATCAGCAAGAAACTTGGTCGCACTGTTTCCCAAATAGCCATTGGACAAGGGCCTGTGGTAGGTGAATCAATGATTCCACATACATCAGATATTCAATTAATTTCACTTTTCACCCATAACTTTTAAAGCAATTTTCTTGGAGAGCCATTGTCTTCCTCACATTCTGCATTGGATTTTCAACCATGTGCTGGAGTGGAATTATTGGTGAGTGAGATGAGCTATATGCTAGCTGTTTCTGAGCAACTACAACAGGGTGCAATTCAATTACAACGTATCCTGTTACAATCTGACCTCAACTCAAACTCACAGGGAAGGACAAAACAAATTTTGACAGAGTTTTTGAATTAGGGAAACTAGCATTTGGTTGGAAAATAATGTTCAAGCAATTGCAATATGGGAATTTTGGTTATGTTCCATGCCCTGAACTTTTGGATATACAACTGTAAATGAGTTGACACAATGCTGAACTTTCACACAAGGATAAATTTGCACAATGTTTTACTATAAATTCATATTCAATAAGAAACCAAGAGTTAAATTGTGTTGCTCTTCATTTTCTTTTCCTCCCACAATCTTAGCCAGGAGGCCTCAATAAAGAAATTCCATTTGGATTGCAGGGAGCAAGCCTTTGATTTGGGAGATCTAGACTGCACTGTTTTTAAAGGAATTCAGACAAGGGCAGAGCATATTTTAGGCATTGGAAGTTTTCTAATAAAGGAGGTTTGAGTTAGCATGGTCAAATTGTGAATGATGAATTATGCATCCCATCACAAATTTTCAAATACAAGAAGAACACCACTGAGGTAATCTTATGCATAAAATCTCATAACAGAATATAGACTCCTCAAGATTTAAAAGAAGCAAAGAGAAAATTTCATTCTAGTATGTTTTTTTCATATAGTCCAATGTAAAACCGTCAGCATTATAATAAATTTCAATCCAAATTTGTTCCTGGATTTTAAAGGAGCAATTCAAAATGTACTACTGACAAAATTTAAAAACTGTTGGCAAAGGAAAATCAGAGATTGCTTCAATAAAAAATCTGGAATACTCCACTTTTTTTTTTAGAAAATTTGTTGCTGGTGATTGTGGCAAATGTGCTTTCATATATTCTGCTGGGAAACTTTGTTATGCTGGTGCCTGATACTGTATACTCACACATATCCAGAAAAATCTCTGTTTTCAGAAATATCTAATAGTTATGCAATTCTTTCTATGTATTTCATAAGACAAGATTGAGGGGTCTCTTAAAGTTCCTTATAATAAAAGTTCACATGTGTAGGCTAAATTTTAAATGGAGGCATCATTTTAAGAAGAGGAAACCCATACTCAACAAGTTCTAA